TTAGCATTTGAATTAGTAAATTTTACTAATAAATTAGTCGAAATTTACTTTTAGCATTTGAATTAGTAAATTTTACTAATAAATTAGTAGAAATTTACTTTTAGCATTTGAATTAGTAAATTTTACTAATAAATTAGTAGAAATTTACTTTTAGCATTTGAATTAGTAAATTTTACTAATAAATTAGTAGAAATTTACTTTTAGCATTTGAATTAGTAAATTTTACTAATAAATTAGTAGAAATTTACTTTTAGCATTTGAATTAGTAAATTTTACTAATAAATTAGTAGAAATTTACTTTTAGCATTTGAATTAGTAAATTTTACTAATAAATTAGTAGAAATTTACTTTTAGCATTTGAATTAGTAAATTTTACTAATAAATTAGTCGAAATTTACTTTTAGCATTTGAATTAGTAAATTTTACTAATAAATTAGTAGAAATTTACTTTTAGCATTTGAATTAGTAAATTTTACTAATAAATTAGTAGAAATTTACTTTTAGCATTTGAATTAGTAAATTTTACTAATAAATTAGTCGAAATTTACTTTTAGCATTTGAATTAGTAAATTTTACTAATAAATTAGTAGAAATTTACTTTTAGCATTTGAATTAGTAAATTTTACTAATAAATTAGTAGAAATTTACTTTTAGCATTTGAATTAGTAAATTTTACTAATAAATTAGTAGAAATTTACTTTTAGCATTTGAATTAGTAAATTTTACTAATAAATTAGTAGAAATTTACTTTTAGCATTTGAATTAGTAAATTTTACTAATAAATTAGTCGAAATTTAATTTTAGCATTTGAATTAGTAAATTTTACTAATAAATTAGTAGAAATTTACTTTTAGCATTTGAATTAGTAAATTTTACTAATAAATTAGTCGAAATTTACTTTTAGCATTTGAATTAGTAAATTTTACTAATAAATTAGTCGAAATTTACTTTTAGCATTTGAATTAGTAAATTTTACTAATAAATTACTGGAAATTATTATTTATAAGTAAAATTTACTAATTCAAAAGCAAAAAAACAGTCACTAATTCAAAATAGCAAACATTTTTAATTTTTTACTAATTCAAATTTAGAGAGAATAATATAGTATTAAATAGAAAATAATATTTAAATTATAATTAAATTAAACATCGAAGCAGAGTGAACACAAAACTTAAGAGCAATAAGTCGCCTTGAAATATAAATTCCCAAATAGATTTTGCGACAATGATTTATATTCCTAATTCGAGAACTTATATTTATATTCTGTTATTGTTATAATTCCACCATGTAAAGTATATGCGGTTAGTGATTCGATAATTGATCTTGTGGGTGGATATTTCTTTAATTAGTCGTTTTGTAGTTTTAATGGATTTGAACTTTAATTTTTGGAAAGAGCGCGTTTATATAGTTATATACATATATATTGGTTGGCTCTTGTCGACTTTGCAGACTCGGTAAAATTTACGGCTGCTGCAGCAAGCACTTTGATATAATTGAACAAACCCGAGGATTGATTTTCACAAAGAATCTATGGAGGAAAGTACTTTAGCAAACTCACTTTCCTTTATAAAAAGTGTAAACAAAATTATTGTAATTTAAAATTTTATTTGTAATAAAACATTTTTTTATTTTTCCTATGTAGACCTAATTAGAAAATCTCTTTTAAATATTTACCTTCGAGATATTTTTTTAAAAGGATTTTTCACGTTTCATTGAGAGAAATATATTGTGAAAAGGTCGTGGAAAATTTATTTGTAAGTATTTTTTTTTAAAGAGATATTCATGAAATTGATATGGTTTTATTATTAATTTATTTACTTAATAAATTTTTGAAATACTTGAATTCTTTGAAGGAATTTTATTAAAATTTTCAAAGAGGTTAATTAAATTTTTGTGGGAAATTTAATTGAAATTATATTGAAAGTATAATTGAATTCTGAATTTTATTAATTTATGAAAATAATTGAATTCTTCCAATGATTTTTATTGACTGAAATTCATTTTTATATCAATTTTTTTACTACATAATATAATTCTTGAAATGAATTTTGTTAAACATTTTAAAAATAATTCAATTCCTGATAGAAAGTTTATTATTCAGGAAAACAATTGAATTGTAAGAAAAAATTTTCAAATTCAATTCTTGTCAGAAATTTTATTTAAAAAATGTGAAAACAATTGAATTCATACAATTTAATTAAAATTGAATTAAAAATACATAATTGAATCTTATTATTTATTTACTTACTCATGAATTTTATTAGAAATACATTGAAAATAATTGAGTCTTATTATTTTATTGATTTAATTATAAATTTTGCTAAAAAATTCAAAATAATTGAATTTTATGCAGGAATTTTATTAATATTTTCAAAAATTAATTTAATTTTTGTTAGAAATTTAATTGAAATTGTTTTGAAAGTATAATTGAATTCAATAAAAAAAATTTATTACAATTTTTATAGATAATTGAATTCCTGAGAAGAATTTTAATAACATTTTTAGGAATAATTGCACTCTTCGAGAAATTTATTAAGAATTGTATTAAAAATAATTAAAATTTTACGATAAGTTGTATTTTTTATGAAAATATAATTAAATTTTTGTAAAGAATTTTAATTAAATTTTTAAAACTAATTGTATTTCTGAAAAGAATTTTATTATTTATGAAAATAATTAAATTCTTGGAAAAATGCTATTAAAACTGAATTAAAAATAATTTAATCATATTATTCTATTGTTCTAATTTAAGAATTATATGAACATTTTTTATTAAAAAAATTCCATTAAAATTTTTATAAACAATTTAATTCTTTTGAAGAATTTTAATAATATTTAAAATAATTGCTATTTTTGAGAAATCGATTGAAAGTTGTATTAAAAATAATTAAAATTCTTCTATGAGTTTTATTATTTATAGAAATAATTGAATTTATATACAGTATTTTATTATTTATAAAAATAATTTAATTTTTCCTAAGAATTTTATTTCAATTTCTATAATTAATTGAATTGACTTAAATTCATTTTTATATAAATTTTTACTACATAATATAATTCTTGAAATGAATTTTATTAAACATTTAAAAAATATTTGAGTTCCTGATAAGAAGTTTATTATTTAGGAAAACAATTGAATTGTAAGAAAAAATTTTCAAATAATTCAATTTTTGCTAAAAATTTTATTAAAAATGTGAAAACAATTGAATTCGTATAATTTAATAAAAATTGAATTAAATATAATTAAACCTTATTATTTTAATTGAATTAATTGCAGAAATTTTATTAATATTTTCAAAAATTAATTAAATTTTTGTGAGAAATTTAATTGAAGAAATTTTATTGAAAGTATAATTGAATTCTTTAAAAGAATTTTTTTTTAAATTTTTATAAATAATAATGGAATTCCTGAGAAGAATATTAATAAATTTTTTAAGAATAATTGCACTCTTCGAGGAATTTATTAAAAATTGTATTAAAAATAATTGAAATTCTATGATGAGTTTTATTTTCTTAATGAAAATAATTGAATTTTTGCAAAGTTTTAATGAAATTTTTAAATATAATTGAATTCCGGAGAAGAATTTTAATAAAATTTTTTTAAAGAATAATTGCGCTCTTGGAGAAAATTATTAAAACTTGTATTAAAAATAATAATTGAAATTGTACGATGAGTTTTATTATTCATTATATAATAATTGAATTTGTGGAAAAAGTTTTAATTAAATTTTAAAAAATAATTGAATTCTGGAGAATAATGTTATTCTTTATGAAAATAATTGAATTCGTGTTTAAAATTTGAATTAAATTTTTTAAAATAATTGAATTTCTGAGAAGAATTTCAATAAAATTTTTAAGAATAATTGCACTCTTCGAGGAATTCATTAATCATTGTATTAAAAATAATTTAAACTCTACAATGATTTTTTTTCATGAAAATAATTGAATTCTTGCAAAGAATTTTAATTCAATTTTAAAAAATAATTGAATTTCTGAAAAGAATTTTAATTCAATTTTTAAAAATACCTGAATTTCTAAAAAGAATTTTATTATTTATGAAAATAATTGAATTCTTGCGAAGAATTTTAATTCAATTTTTAAAAATAATTGAATTCCTGAGAAGAATATTATTATTTATAAAAATAATTACGTGTTTGCAATGAATTTTATAAAATTTTGTTTTAAATATTTGAATACTTTTGGAATATTTTCAATTATAAACAAATTCTAAAAAAAAAAATTTTTAATATTTCTTTTAGTGTAACAAATCTAAAAAAAATTTCTAAATGGAAGCATATCGTAAAAAAAAGTAGTAAATAGTAGGTTTTAATGAATGAGTCCAAAGACTGAATTCGCATTCTTTTTTTCATAAAAAAAACAGTTATGTTTTAATACGATAATTACGAAAGTTTATAATTCTCTATTACACAATAACAGGAAACAAGTTTTGGTCTTAATGAAGTAATTATAAATAACAGTTTAGTTCACATTGTTTTTTAATGCAAAAATATAATAATTCCATAATCTTTTCCTTATTACCTACTTTTCCTTTATTATAAACTGTAAAACAAGTCTTGAGTTTATCAGTGGAAAATGAGTGCTATCGTAAGGCAGTGGTGGAATTGTGTTTTTAAATTCAAACAAAACAATTTATTTCATTATGTTAGTAATGCATAAAAAAATATTCCTTTAATTTTCTTTTCACGCATTTAATTTTTTTTTCTCGCCTAACTCCTAAAAATGTGCAATTTTACCTCATCATAATTGATGGGGTATAGTCTCATAAATCGATTAATGAAAAAATTCAATTAACATAAAATAAAAGAAAAATATTTCGACAAATAAAAAATACATAAATATAAAAAAAAATTACTCGATAAATAAAAAAATCTAGTGCAGCATAAATTTACTTTAAAAAAAACAAAATCCGCCGCATAATACATTATAATTTTTCAGTTTTTTACAAGAAAAATTATTGTTTTAAAATTTTCTTGTGTGTGTGTAAACTTTTATTTGTACGGGATTTCTATTGCGCCAATAACTTATTGAACATTGAAAAAGTATGAAACAAGTTTAATATCCGCTCCTCCGGTACTAACTTCAAATTACTTCAAGACACGCTCTGAACATGACAGTTGAAATATATCTAAACATTGTATTGGTTTTTGTATTTTGATCCATAAAAAAAAAATTCTTAAACGGAAACAAGAAACTTATTATTTACAAAAAATGATTTTATCCTAAACGGAGAAGGAAAAAATTAATCAAATGACGAAAATTTTCCTGCGAAACATATTTTATGTTATTACTGTTATAAGTCAACTTTTCGAAATTCAGTGTAAGGGGAAATTTTTCTTCTATTATATTATAAATATATATTCTATACATATAAACGAAAGAAAAGAGGAAGTTTTCTTTCTAAAGAAATTCTTTAATCTTAAAATCATATTTTATATATATGTATATAAAACAAGCAAGGTAATAACGCGGAATATATTTTTCTACCCCAAAAAGCATTTGACTATCAGCATAAAAATGAGTGGTATAAACAGTATCCAGATTGCGCTGGGAAAACTCAGTCTCCTTTGGATATTAACACAAGTCAAATAAAAACTGAAATCAAGAATCCAATCAGATTCAAGGGACACGATCGCCAACCACGAGAAATGTATTTAAAAAATAATGGTCACACTGGTAAATCGAAAAATATTTTTTTCCCAAACAAAAAATTTTGCTATCTCACATGTTTTTTTTCTATTTTATAAATTATATAATATGAACAAATATTTTCTATTATATAATATAAAAAGTATAAAAATAAAATAAATAATTTTTTTCATTAATTAATAACTAGCAACAATTCGCTGACTTCTCGCTTACTTTTTTTAAAATAAAATTAGCAATTTTAAAAGTAATAGAAAGTAAAAATTTGTAATTCAAATTTTTTTTTATAAAAATAAAATGTGAATTAAAATATATAGTTTTAATATTATTATAATTATAATAATCATATATTCTGACAGGGAATTCAGAGAAAAGTCAGGAATTTTTATTAAAAGTACTGGAAAAAATAAAATTTTTAGAATTCATTAAAAAATTCTGAATTTTTCTGTCTTTTTTGAATTTGACTCATAAACTATAAAATTACCACGAATTCTAATACAAAACCTTCAATTTTTTCAATTTCTGACAATAATTGATTTTTAAATAACTTAAATCTTAAACAACTATCATAAAATAAATTAATTATTTAATGAATAATTTTACTTAAATATCTCAAAATTAATTCAATTTTAAGAGAGTTGCATTTACAATTTTTATTAATAAATTAACTTCAAAAGGTTTGAATTTAAAATTTCAATTTCAATTCAAATAAAATTTTAATTTTAAATGAATTTCATTAAAAATTTTCAAGAACTTGATTTTTGAAAAATAATAATTCAAATTCTTATGAAATTAGTTAAATTTTTTAATATATGTATTTCATTAATTATTAAAAATAATGGATTCATAGAAGAATATTAGTTAAAAATACTTTTAAAAAATTGAATTTTGGAGAAGTTACAAATGATTGCAGAAATTCAATTATTTTTAAAAGTAATAAAATTCTTATCACAAAATTCAATTATGTTCAAAATTTACAAAACAATCTTGACAAAATCCTAATTATTATCTTTATAAATAAAAATATTCTTCTTCAAAATTCAATTATTTTCAAAAATTTTAATAAAATTCCCCAAAAGAATTCAATTAATTAAAAACAATTTTAATAAAATTGAACGCAAACATTTATTTATTTTCGTAAATAATAGAAATTTCACAGGAATTCAAATATTTACAAATTTTTGATAATTTTCTTCTCAATAATTCAATTATTTTCAGAAATAAAAAAACTCAATTGCAGAATTTCAATTATTTTTAATACAATTTTAATCGAATTCCTTGAAAAATGTAATTATTCTAAAATTTTTTATTAAAACTCGTCAAAAGAATTCAATTATTTAAAAATCTGTTAATAAAATTCTTTATAAGAATTAAATTTTAAGAAACATTCAATTATTCAATAAATAATTTACTTTTCTATTTAAATAATTGAATTCTCGTAGAATTTTCTACTAAAAATTGTTTTGAAAAGGAATTTTTAGTTTAAATTTTAGATAATAATATAATATGAAAATATAAATATAAAAATAATATATAATATAAAAATATAAAATAATGATTTGAACACTCGATCCTCTTTAATTATTATAAAATATTCCTATGGAATTCCTATGGAAAAATAATAATAATTAAATAGGTATTTAAAATATTTAAAAAAGAAATTATTGTTTTCGAAAAATTTTACAATTAAAAATATTATTAAATTCGTAAATTTTATTATAATAAATCATGAAAAAGTATTTTTCGTATTTTCGATTTGTCATATAATATTTTTAATTAAAGAAAAAAAACAAAAGCACACAGAAACTAATAAACTATAAATTTTTTTTTGTTTAAATAAATTTTATTTTGTTCAAAAAAAATTTACTTGGTTCAAATCAATTTTATTTAGTTCAAATAAATTTTATTTAAGTAAAACAAATTTTATTTGATTCAAATACATTTTATTTGAGTCAAACAAATTTTATTTGAGTCAAATAAATTTTTTTTTATTCAAATGAATTTTTTATTTGAGTCAAACAAATTAGAATTAAAAAAAATTAATATCTCTAGATATATCTACATTTTTTTATATGATTTTTTCCTACTTAATTATCAAATTAGAGCTTTTTTAATTTAAAAAAGGGGTTTTTATCTGTAGAAGGGATTTATTACGAAACGCTGCATTTTTTTTGTTGAAAATTCATCTCTGATTCAGAAAAAATTTATATCTCCAAATTAGAGCTTTTTTCATTAAAATAGGAATTTTTTTAATTGAAAAAAGGCTCTTTTTCCGAAACAAAGCTATAGTTGAAAAGTGTTTAGAATTTATCTCTGATTCATAAAAAATTCGTATCTTGAAAAAAGAAGCTGGTCTTGACATTTTTTAGATGCGCCTTTTTCTCAGTTGATTGTCAAATCTGAGCTTTTTTTTTAATGAAAAATGAGCTTTTTTACGAGCTTTTTTTTAAAATGAAGCTATATTTAGAAACTGTTCAGAATTTATTTCTGATTAAGGAAAAATTTATATCTTTAGAGAAGAAAATGATCTTAATTTTTTTTTCTTTTTTTCCTAGTAAATTATCAAATTAGAGCTTTTTTTTAATGAAGAAGGTCTTTTTTATTGGTAAAGGGATTTTTTCCGAAAGAAGCTAAACTTAGAAACTATTTAAAATTTCTCTCTGATGCAGAAAAAAATTATTGTTAGAAAATCCAAAATAGTCTCGACATTCTTTTATACTATTTTTGGAGGCTATTATCAAATTAAGGCTTTTTTTTTATTCAACAATTTTATTCTTATTTGATAAAAAAAAACAAGAATTTTATTTAGTACAAAAAAATAGGATTTGAACCAAATAAAATTTATTTGATACAAAATTAATTTAAAACAAGTAAATAATTTATCGTTAATAATAAGTAAACAAATAAAAAATTTAGCATAGTAAATGTATAGAAAAATAATGCTATAACGTTAAAAATTCCCTTTTTTCAAAATAGTGGTAATTAATCCTGTATATTCATCTGAAGAACCAAGTGTGGAAGGTGGATCTCTTAATGGAACATACATTTTAGACAGCATTCATTTCCATTGGGGCTGTAGAAATAACAGAGGAAGTGAACACACTGTTAATGGAAAGCAGTAAGACTTTTCTTTTCATCCGCTTACAATCAGAATAATAAAATACAAAAGAGCCTTGAAAACAAGATCAAAAAGATAGTTGCTTCAATTTTTAATTTATTACATTTTACTCTTGAATAATTTTCCTCTTTTCGGAATTTCATTAATTAACTAATTCATTCATTAAAATTTTATTATTTTTTTTTTTCTATTCTCGATTATTTTTTATTCTTCAATTTTTCTAATTATTTTTTTTAAAATTATTATCTTATTATTTTATAATAATAATAATTTTTTATCTTATTATTGTTATTATTGTTATATTATTATTATTTTTCATTGTTAATTATTATTTTTGAATGTTAGTATAAATTAATATTTGCTTATTATTATTGCCAAATAGCAAATATTAATTATATAATTTAATATATGAATTGAAAAACCTAGTTAACTTATTAAATACCTACAATCTAATTATTAAAATCATTGAGGTAGAAAATTGATAAATTACATTATATATTTTGTGAATAATTCCATTTAACTATAAACAATAAAACAGTAATGTAAAAGCAAATTCAAAATAATAACAAAATTAACATTTTAATGCAGCCTTACTTTAGAAATGCATATGGTGCATTATAATGATAATTACTGTTCAATACAAGACGCTCAAGATAAACCTAACGGTCTTGCGGTGATTGGAATATTTTTCAAGGTAATTTTGTTTTTTAATATTATTTTTCTTTTTTCTTATTTTCATTTTCACAAAATTTATTTACAATTTACAATTAATAATCAATTTTTATTTTACTTTATTCCCTTTTTTTATCGAAATTTTTACTATCATTTCCTTTTAATTGAAATAATAATAATACCTAATAATAATAATCATAATAATAACTTTTTTATTTTGTTCTCATTGATAAAAAAAAATTTTTTTCCAACAACTATTTGCAATAAAAATGATTAAAAATAATAATTAAATTTATTTTTCAATAACTTTAGATTTGCAATAAAAATGATGGTTCCACACTTCGACCTTTAGTTGAAAATTTGAAAAAGGTGCAAAAAATAAACGAACAATCATCAATAAAGCCATTTTCACTCAAGATTTTTAATTTAAAGGAGGAAATTAAATTAATCACTTATCAAGGATCATTAACCACTCCTCCATGTTATCAAACAGTGACTTGGATACTGGCGGCAAAAATTCGCAGAATCACTAATGAACAGGTCAGATTTTTTTTTTCTTATTCTTTGTAAATAATTAATAACAAAAATATAATAACTGATTTTAAATTAAGCCCATATTAAGACTTATAACTAATAATTAATAATTTTAATTACATAATAACGCTTGAAAAAATTTTCGTTTTAAGGTGGAAGAATTTAGAAAGATAAATTTAAAGCATGGAAATATGGAAAATTTCCGATCAGTGCAACCAATAAATAATCGGATTATAAGTATTGCTAAGGGTTCAATGTGCTCAATATAAATATTTGTAAATTAATAAAAAAAGAATATGAGTTAAATTTACCCACGATGAAAACGAATGTGACTCTTTACAAGTTTAATAAAACGTATAAATAAATTATTTATAATTCATATAAATAATATAATTATAATAATTATTTGCATTACTGGATTTTAATTGTAATAATTTATATGTAAATATTTGTACGATATATGTTTATAATAAAACAACTAATTATTATTGTAATAAAAATAAACAAATAAGTGAATAAATGAAAAATAAACAAATAAAATAGAAAATAAGTAATAAATATAGTAAGTAATAAAAAACACAAAGTAAAAAGTATTAAAACAATATAAAAAATTTTAAAAAGAATTTCAGTTAAAATTTTAGAATAAATATTTGAAGAATTAAAAGAATTGCAGTTCTAATTTTTAAAAATACCACTTTAAATATCTCTGAGACAAATATTTGAAAAGGGTCAAAAAATGATAAAAAAAAAAATACCAAATCCTCCATCACATGAATATACATAAACATATTGAAAAATATAATAATTTAACGTGGAAAATTTATGTTCTATATACACTAATTAAATGCACAGAAAGCAATTTTTCATTCGAGATTGAGGAAACGATTAAAGGTCAAAGATGCTATAAGAAAATCTATCATGTATAGACTGAGAAACTAACTTTTACGAAAGCGTACAGCTATAAAATTTTCTGGTGAAACTTCCTTTATTGCAGTTGAATCGAAGTTTTTGGTTTCCGAGTTATTAGACGACTATTTATGAGTAAGACAACCTGCTTTTATTCTATTTATGAGCTCAAGTACTCTTTGCTGACTCATACACATTTTTTTCCCAACTTCTACATATTTATAGATGTCGTGATTTAAAATTTGCAATAAGTAAAAAAAATTTATTTGATTCACATAAACAATTTACCTATTTTTATTGTCAATATAAATATTTACTCCCATACTCCTTCCTTTCTTCCAAATTAATAAAAAGTTATACTAACTCTCTAAATCTGAATTAGTTAAAAATAACAAATTATTAGTAAAATCGTGGCTGACTTTTTGCTTCAGCAATTAATAAAAAATAACTAATTATTAATTATTAATATAAATAAATAAATACTAACAAGATTTCGCACTCAATGAATTTTATTATTCATGAAAGAATTTAAATATTTATAAAAATAATTTAATTCTTGTGAAGAATTTTATTACAATTTTTAAATAATTCATTTCTTTCGACTAATTTTATGCAAATTCTAACGAAGATTTTTACAACAAATTTTTTAAATAATTAAATTCTGTTTGGAAATTTTATGAAAATAGTGGATATTGAAAATCATTGAACTGCAAAAAGTTTATAAAAATAATTAAATTTTACAAAAAATTTGTAAATTTCTCAATTTTTGAGAATAATTTAATGTCAGTGTGGAATTTTAATAAATTTCTTTTTTAAATAATTGAATTCCTAAAAAGCATTTTATTATTTATGAAAATAATTGAATTCTTGCAAACGATTTTATTAGAATTTTTTAAAATAATTGAATTTCCAAGAAAAAAATGTAGGTATTACTTTTAAAAATAATTCAATTCTTATGATGAATATTGTTATTTATGAAAATAATTCAATTTTCAGGAATAATTTTGTTATTTATCGACATAATTGAATTCTTTCGAAGAATTATTCATGTAAATAATTGAATTCTTGGGAAGAATTTTATTAAAATCTAAAAGAATAATTGAATTATTTCAAAAAATTTTTATTAAAATTCTATTTAAAATAATTGATTTCTTTAGAACAATTTTATTAAAATATATTTGAAAATAATTGAATTCCTGTGAAAAAGTCTAATATTTTTGTAAGTAATTGAATTCTTCGAAAGAATTTTAAAAAAATATTTTTTTAAATAATTGATTTTTTCGAGAAATTGAAATTAAATTTTTAAGAATAATTACATTTTTTGAGCAATTCCTGTAAAATTATATTAAAAATAATTGAAATAATTTATGAATATAATTGAATTCTTGCAAAGAATTTTAATTCAATTTTTAAAAATAATTGAATTCCTGAGAAGAATTTTATTATTTATAAAAATAGTTGAATTTCTGTGCAAAATTTTGTTATTTTTGAAAATAATTGAATTCTTCATAAGAATTTTATAAACACTTTTTTTAAATAATTAATTTTTTCGAAATATAATAAATATTATAAACATTTTATTTGAAAATAATTGAATTCTTGTGAAAAACTTTATTTGGGAAAATAATTGAATTTTTCGATTAATTAATTTAAAAAAGTATTAAAAATAATTGAAATCCTGCGATGAATTTTATTATTTATGAAAATAATTGAATTCTTGCAAAGAATTTTAATTCAATTTTTAAAAATAATTTAATTCCTGAGAAGAATTTTTATTGTTTCCAAAAATAATTGAATTATTGCGAAAAAATTTATTAAAATGTTTAAAAAGAATTGAATTTCTGTGCAAAATTTTGTTATTTTTCAAAATAATTGAATTCTTCATAAGAATTTTATAAACATTTTTTTAAATAATTAATTTTTTCGAAATATAATAAATATTATGAACATTTTATTTTAAAATAATTGAATTCTTGTGAATAAATTTATTTGGAAAAATAATTGAATTTTTCGATTAATTAATTTAAAATAGTATTAAAAATAATTGTAATTCTTTGAAGAGTTTTATTATTTATGAAAATAATTGAATTCTTGTTTAGAATTTCAGTAAATTTTTTTAAATAATTGAATTTCTGTGAAAAATGTTATTACTAGTGAAAGTAATTGAATTATCATGAAGAATTGTATAAAAATTTTGTTAAATTCTATTCTATTCTATTCTAAATTAAATTAATTCCTGTGGAAATTTTATTATTTATGAAAATAATTGAATTTGGGATGAATTTTTATTTTTAACTAATAATTCAAATTTAGGGAGAATATAATGACAAAAAGTCGTCTTCCAAATAATTTAATAATAATTTTACTAACAATCTTGGTAGAATTTTACTAATTAGTATAATATTTAACTAAATAGTAAAATGAATGTATAATTTTGCACCATATATTTATTTATAAATATATAATATGGATGTTTAATTTAAGTTCAGTGAAATGTTAACACTACGTGGCATTGACATAAGCAAAACGGACTAAACAACCATTTCAATCTTCAATAAATGCTCCATTCCGACTAATTAGAATATGGATCAGAAAATAATTGGATACAAACGCAAACGGACAAAGGAGCTCAAAGCTGATAGACTAGACGTTTCCCTCATCTCAGCACATTATGTACCTGTTTTTATTCAATTATTTTTGTTTTTAATTAAATTTATTGTTATAAAATTGTAATAAAGCAATTTCTCTTTTATTATCAAATAAACATTTATTTGTATCAAATAATTTTGATTTATTATGGTTCAAAGACAATTTAATTGCCTTCAATAAAACATATTTGATGGATATGAATATTTATTTCAAATATTTATTTTTAAAATCAACAAGTGATCGCTCATTTAAATATAAATAAACGATTATTTAAATAAATTTTTTTCACTGTAGATTAAATCAACAAAGATTTGTTTGTTTCTGTTATCAATTTAAATTTAAATATAAATATAAATATAAACTTGAACACTGAAAAAAAATTTATTTTATTCAAATAATAGTTTATTTGTCTGTTATCGAATAAATATTTTCTTTAATTAAATATAAATTTTATTTAAATCAAATGAACTGTATTTGAACCACTAATTTCAGCTTTTGAAGCAAATACACTTCAATTGATTTAAATAAAAATTGTTTGATTCAAGTAAATATTTATATTTAATTTATTTCTATTTATTAGACAAATAATCTTTTATTTGAATCAAATAAATAAATTTCAAAAAATATAAATATAAACTAAATATATAAACTGAAATAGAAACTAAATAGAAACTTCAAAAAGAAATAAAGATTTCACTAAATCTTCCAAAAGCGATATAAATATTCACATAAATTTTTCCTCTCACGGCTGCTATTATATTATTCCAATTGCGGATTGCAATTTGTCATTGAAAATGTAGATTTCATTACATATATATAGAAGTTAGAGAAGACATGAAAAATTGATATCAGAAAAGTGCAGAAACATTGATTTGCTTTAATATTCATATAGTCGAGGAACTCTCGTTTGCCCATTTTTTTCACCCCCATCATTAAGACGCAGTTTTATACATAATACATATTCATGTTCAACTATAAAAGGCATAAAGATTTCCTACACGAAAAAGGAATCACTACCCTCTCTCTTTCTCTCTTTCTCTCTCCCTCACTCCCTCTCTCTCTCTTTTTCTAAAAATGAAAGTTTTCATGATAATTGCTTTCCCAAGCTTTTTACATTTCACATCCTACACTTTTCCATGTAAAAATAACTTAAAAGGAAAAAAGTTCTTAATGGCAATTTGCATTTATTTCAAGTTTCAAATTTCAATTTTTCATTTATCTTCATTATAAAATATTATACTTCTGGATGAGAAAAAATATTTCTGTTTTCTTTTGGAAAAAAAAATAAAAATGTTATTTCGCAAAAACAAAAGAAGTGTCGTAAATTATAAAAACAATTTCCAAGTGGAAAAATAAAAAAAAATGTCATAATATATAAAAGTTTATGAGGAATTATTTCGTGTAATTCTTGGTAGAAAATAAAGTATTATGCAAATTTTTCTGCAAGAAATTTTGTGAACTTTCATAATAAGTTAATTAGAGTGATAATAGTTTTAAAAATAGCGAAATTATAATTTTAGAATTTAAATTCAAGAAAACCGTCTTTCCAAATCGATTTAAATTAAGAAATCTTTATTTTTATTCTTATTTTATCCAATACTTTATTTATTTAATTTTTTTATTTTTAATGGAATATTTATTTCACAATCAAAATAATAATAATAATAATAATAATATAATAGATATAAATAATAATAGAAATAATAGAAAAAATAAAAAAAATAATAATCGATAATAAAAATTTTTTTTCATTATTTTTAATTATTTCCAATTTTTAATATAAATTTATACGCTACTATTTGTTATTTCACAAGTTTTTTTTAATTAATTTTATAAATTATTAAACGTTCACAATCGATACAGTTATCCGCGGATGATAACTAAAGAAATATTTTTTAATTCAAAATATTAAATAGAATTTTTATAAGATAAACAATATTGACTAAAAACAAAAATTTGGTAACTACAAATTTTCAAAAGAAATAAAAATATTAAAAATAGTTTATCATCAGCTACTAATTCTATTCTTTAAATCTCGACAGGTTTAGAACTTCAAGCGCCAGTGGCAGCACCTTATAGATTTCGAATTTAAATTGGAAAAATAATTATAATTTTCATAACAAAAAAATTATATTAATATTTTTTAATCATTAATCACTAATTGTTAATTACTAATTGCAAATCGTTAATTATTAGTCATTAATTATTAATATTAAGTAATAATTATTAATATTAGGTAATAATTATTCCTATTAATTATTAATAGTAATTATTAATATTAATTATAAATAATAATTATTAATATTAATAATTAATAATGAATTACTTGATTTACGTAATTTTCAAAATTTCTGAATAACCAAAATGTATAATACACATTTTATCCATCTACGAAAAATCCACATTAAATTAAAATAAATAAAAATATTGAATATTAATTTAGTTTATTGTAGGAGAAATAAAAAATGATGAATTACCTATTTTGGAAAAAAAGCGTAAAGAAGAAAACAGTTGAACGTCGCAGTTTTTTTTTGCACTATTCGTCATATAAAATGTGGAATAGTATAGTCAAAGAAAAAACAAAAATTTCTTTTGTTCCTCAAGCTCTTTCTAATCGAATATCTTCACCGAAAAGGGTTTCGTTTCCTGTGTAAACTCTATCGTGTTCAGAACAATCGCAGGCTGAAGTAGGTTCGCGTGGTTCATTCGAATAGACTTTTTTACATTGACACGATTTAAATTGCTTTTCTTCAGTTTCATAGCACGGTGCAGAGGGATCCTGAAAAATATAATATATTTGTAAAAAAAAGATAAATATGAGATCAAGAATTCACTTCCGAATAATATAATAAGAAAATAGTTTCACTAAATAAAATTATTTAATTTAATTTAAATATCTAATATTCTTTTCGTTAAACAACGTATCATTTGTTATTTATTGAATCTGTTCTTATTTTTAATTTAATTAAATTTCATCGCAATTTTAATTTTAATATAATTACTAGCATTTTGTTATTTCTCCATTGTATACATTCCAAACAGGAAGTGTATACAATTTTTGTTTCCCCTTTAATAATTCAGTTACTATTCTAATTTTAATTTAATTACTAATTATTATTTTCGTTTTAATTTAATTTCAATTTCAATTTTATTATTCAATAATTTAATAATAATATGAATTTTTATGCGAAATAATATTGGATTTAAAAAAAAAATGTTAATTCACCTGCATTTGAATATCACAACAAGGTCGTTCCTCTTCGGTTGGAATTATTTCCTTTTGCTTTTGATGATCTGAATTATCCTGTGATTTTTCTTGAAAATCTCGATTATCTCCTCTTGTCCCTTGAGAATATTGATCATCACCAGTTTCCGATTTTTCATTACTTTCTAATTCGGCCTGACGATTTTTTTTCCTCTCCCAATCGTCTTCAACTGAACCTTTTTTTGTAGATTTTTTCTTCGGTGGACAAGGATGTTTTGTATTCTTTACACCCCAATCGACGCTATTGTTTACTGAAATCAATAAATAATAAATGAGTCGACAATTATTATTAATATTAAAATTTTTGTAATTTGTCAAATAAAAATAATTAAAAAATCAAATGAAAAAATTATGTAATTAAATAATCAAATAAAAGTTAATAAATAATTAAATAATCAAATAAAAGTAACTAAACAATTAAATAGTAAAATAAAAGTAATTAAATATTTCAATACTCAAATTAAAATAATTAAATAATCAAAAAAATAAATAATCTTTAAATTGATCGAAAAAATATTCAAACATTAGATAATAGTAACAAAACAGGAGAAAAAAATTATGAACCAACCACATTCGTATAATTTGTCCAATATACTTTTTTTCTGATCGTTCATTATGTTATTAACTATTTAGAAAAAATATTGTTTGTAATTTTTGTAAATTTTGAAAGTGTTTGGTTAGAATTTGGAAAAGTCAAGTGAAAATGGATTTTATCGAAAAGATCGATGGTTACTTTTTTTAAAGGCGATTTCATTTTTTTTCTAATCTATTTTCAATTCTTGTTGCCAAACAATTCATTATTAACTTATTAATTAATTGTTACCTTATAATTAATAATTATTACTAATTAAATATTTGCTTACAAATTTAATTACTAATTAAATATTAGCTAATAAATTTAATTACTAATTGAATATTAGCTAATAAATTTAATTACTAATTAAATATAGGCTAACAATTAACTACAAATTAATTACTTTCAACTTTTCGTTCCTTTAAAAATTTCTAAAAAGCAACCGATTAATAAAAAAAAAAAAATCATGAAGCGATTTTTCCAAAAATAAAAAAGACAAGAGTATTAATTATACCGTAAAATAATTAAATATCCCGAAAAAACAATAGTGTCCGGTAGCAATTCTCTGATCCATAGCTACCAATCACTGCGAATTGTCACACTCGGATAATAATAACCGGCGCAAGTTCGCATTTGAATCATAAACCGTTGCGTTGGCGTGACCTCTCTTAATTTCCGCAGACTCCGCTAATGACGAAATAGTCATCAAATTTGTGACTGAAGAATGATGTCAGGCCGGGCACTTCACCTTTAAGCAAAAGACTACAACAACAACGAAAAAAAAATTATAAACAACACTAGGGCAAGAGTTTATTGTCCAAAGCGGACGTCAACAGCGTGGAAGCATGACTGGGAATTAGGTGAAGTCTATATAATACAGTTTTTTATTTATATTTATTTTTTTTTCCTTCTCTTACCTCTAAACGAATTTTCTTTCTCCCGATGAATCCGTCAAAAATTCTAGACAAAAAATGAAACCAGAAATAATTTATTTCTTTTATCTCTAAATGACGTTTCTTCTTGTTGCTGGTAAATTTGGCAAAAATTTCTGTTCCTAATGAATTCGACAAAAATTCTAAAAAAAAATGAGATTATTATTAATTTTTGCCTTTGAATTTTCTTTCGATTCATGGCGAATACATCAAAAAATCTATAGAGAAATTAAACCAGAGATTACTATTATATTCATTTTTTTATCTCTAAATGAATTTTCTTCCTGCTCCTAATAAATTCGTTGAAAATTCTAAAAAATAAACCCGAGATTATTATTAATTTTTTTTTTCTTTGAATTTTCCTTCTATTCCTGACGAAGCCATCAAAAAATCTAAAAAAAAAAAATTTAACCAGAGATTTATATTATTCATTATTTTTTCTTTTTCCTCTAAATTATTTTCCTTCCATTTTCTCATGAATTCATCAAAAATTCTAAAAAAAACCAAACCAGAGATTAATTTTCAGTCAGCAAAGGTCAAAGTTAAAACTAAAAAAAATTAATAGAAATTAAAATTGAATGGGAAAATAAAACTGAACTTGATAAATTGAAAATACATTAAAGTTTGAAACTACTAAAGACCGAAATTTAAAAAAGACGAAGTATTAAATATTTAAATTTTAAACAATACAAAATCAAAGTTTTCTTAAGAAATTTAATTACCACAAATCGAAGGAACTGAAAATATAATCGATTATCAAAATTATTGAATTTTTTTGTTAGAGAAAATAAAAACTATAAAATAGAAAATAATAGAATGAAAATGGAAAATAGAAGAAATAAAATAAAAAATTGCAAAAAGAAAATGGAAAATAGAGAATAGAAAATAGAAAAAATAGAAAATTGCCAAAAGAAAATAGAAAATAGAGAATAGAAAAAAAAGAAAATAACAAAAAGAAAATAAAAAATAGAGAATAGAAAAAAAAGAAAATAAAAAATAGAAATTTAAAATATAAAAAAGTTCCTGAAAATCGCTGAAATGAATTACTGAATAAAATTACTGTTTACGATACCACGAGATTTTTTTTTCATGAAAAAAAAATTTTACAACCAGTTATATAATCGTTATTCAATTTTGCCCAATAATATTTACGAAAATAATGGCCAATGAAACAAAAATTTAAAATTTCTACCATTATGATCGCTTCATTAATAATTTTCTATGTACCAATAAAATTCGATGAGTCCATTAAAATCACACCGTTACGGACTCTACAACAAGACGCACTTAACTTTTTCCGTTTATTGACAGAATATTTACTCTCAAAGTTGTTAGATTCAATTTATTAGTAATAACATTTTTCGTATAATTTCTCGACATTCAATCAGATTAATTGGTTTCAAAGTCATTAATTTTTTTTTTTAAAGTCCATCGTTACGATTTTTATACACAACAAATTATTACTATTGTACGTATACATTATATTTTAACATAATTGTATAATATTTACATTTATCCACAATATCCAATATATTTAGAAAATCTTTTACAATAAATTATTTTAAATTATTTTGAATTATTATTTTGAAAAATTATTTCCTTTAAAAATTTATTTCAAAATAAATAAAAATAATAGGAAGAAATAAATTTAGAAAATATTTTACAATACATTATTTTGAATTATTTTGAATCATAATATTGAAAAATATTTTTTCTTTCAAAATTTATTCCAAAATAAATAAATAATAAGAAATATATTCATAAATAAATTTTAAAAAACTTTTATAATAAATTATTTTGAATTATTAATTTAAAAAATCATTTTTTTCGAAAATCGATTTTAAAATAAATAAATTCTACTAATGAATAAATAAACGAATTTCACTAATAAATAATTATACATTTTTTTTACTTTAATAAATTTAAGACCTTTTTCTACTAAATTTAATATTAAAATTTTCCTTCTTTTATTAATAATTATAGATTAAAAAAAGCTTTTAAATTGACCCAATTTTAAAGTGATTTTAAGCTTAATTAACAATCTAATTATTAAGATAAATTGTTAATTTAATTCCGTTCTATGGAAGCTACCACTGATTGTCAATTATGTTATCGATTCTATAAGTACCAACGATTGAAAATTCCAACTACCATTGATTGAAGTTAATATGATTTTAAATAATATATCCTAGTCAATTGCCTATCAAATACGTCGAAAATTTTGTCAGAGTTATTTTTAATAAACGAAATTTCCTGTTGCAAAAAAAATAAAAAAAACACTAATTTTCAATTTGTTTTTAATTTTATTTATTCATATCTATTATTTCAGGAAAGTTGAAAGAAAAGAAAGAATTCCCTCTCTTTCACCGGAATCGTACTTGGTTTAAATAGAAACCAGTCAAGATGAAATTCATTAGTTTCTGGAATCAATCGCGAATGAAAACAAGTCATACCGTCATGCTTTATCTAGAAATGTAAATGTGACAATTATTTATAAACAAATTAATAAGAAAAAATAGTTTAATATTGTCAAAAATTATTTACTAAAGAGAAATTAAAAAAATACTAAAAAACTTGGAAAAAACTAAAGAAAATTAAAGAAAACTTAAAAAACTAACGAAAACCAAAGAAAAATAAAGAAAACTAAAAGTACTAAAGAAAAATTAAAAAAGTAAAAAAACTAAAAAATACAAAAAAAATCGATATTCTAAAATTCAAAACAAGTTAAAAATAAATTTTCTTCTTTTGATTCTTTATCAAACAAATTATTTATAAATAACAATTTTTTCATATTTACACTATTTTTTTTATTCTTAATCAAGTTTTTAAATTTTTAATTTGAAGAGAAACAATTCTAAATATTTTTAATATGAATGGCAATGAATTTTTTAAGTTACGATTCAATTAGTTTTTTAAAATGTCACATTTGTATTTTCAAGTTCTACACGTTATATAGACTATTATTATTATTTGTTATTATAACCGTTATTTTATGTACGTGATACTTGAAAAAAGGTATTAAAAAAAGTTATTTCCCATTTTCATTATTCTGTGAATATATTTCTCTGTGGTTTTATCAAAAAGTGAATAATAGTGAATGAAATTTCAGTGCTTCTTGAAAGTGAAAAAAATGTGTATAAATTTTTGTTTTTTGCATTTACGTGAAAAATTTCATTTAAATAGAATCTTCTTTTTTCATAAAATTGAAATTTGATATAAATTGGTTTCTATCTAAATTTACTTTAAGATTTTTAAATAAAAGTAGCAAAAATATACGATAGGCAACTTTTTTTAAATTAATAAATTGATATTTCATTACATTTGTATTTAATTTAATTTTTCTCAATTATATATTTAAATTATTTATTTATTTACACGAGTAGTTTCCCTCTCGAATTATATTTAATTTTGTTTTTAATTTAATTTAATTTAATTCTATTCCTAATTTAATTTAATTTTACTTAATTATATTCCTAATTTAATTTAATTTTATAGGTATTTAATTGTATTCACAATTTAATTTTATTTTATTTAATTGTATTCCTAATTTCATTTAATTTTATTTTCAAAAACCTTTGAATTAAATACCGATTTGAATCAATTTTACTTCAAATAAAAAAATTAAGTAATTAAACTTTAAAAGCCTAATGAAACCAAAAATGTCAAGAATTTTTGCCAATAATTTTCGCGCTAAAAAAAACGAAATATTTTCCACTATTACACGCTTCATAAATTTTACTTATTCAATAGATCATTGATTAACGCGGTTGCACCTACAAATTATAGCTAATGGCAATAAGTAATAATTGGTAACAGTAACTTTTCTATGGGACACTCGATGAAGCAAAACTAACTGCCGCGAGAATTAAAGAATAAACAATAATTCAAGCATTAAATTTAAATTATCGTTATGATGAAATTAATTTACGATGCAAAATTACTTTGCTCAAAAAAAACTAAATACATTTCTTCTTTTAACTAAACGTAATTTTTTGTTTGACAATTTTTTGAATAAATTAAAATATTAACTTTAAGCGAAACTTTTAATTACAGATGAAGTTTCGATTGACGTTGCTTATTATTAGTTTACAAACAACGTCGCTCTCTTGGATTTTTTTAATAATTACCGGATTAATGGACAATTGCATATTCGCCGAGAATAGTATTTATCCAAAAGATAATGTTAATTACATTATGGAAAATTCATCGGAAATTACAAAATCAATACCAAATTCGTCGACTGAAAATTTACTGAATTTTGAGAGGAGAGGTCGAATATTGCATAATTTAGAATATCCTGTTATTAATGTAAGTTCTCTTTTGGGGAGCACACATTTTATATTTTAATTTTAATTACACTTAATTAAATTTAATTTAAATTTAACATGAATTAAATTATATTTTAATTATAATTTGAATAAAAAATTTTTTCAAAAAAAAAAAAAAAAAAAAAATATTATATGTTGTGTTATGAAAATGAAAAAAAAAAAAATTTCAAAACAAAAAAAAAAAAAAAAAAAAAATTATAAAAAAAAAATAATTCCATGTTGAGTTTCATGTTGAGTTTCATGTTAAGAAAAAAAAATTATTTATTTTTTTTTTATTTTTTTTTTTTGTGTCTTTTTGATACTTTCTCTTCAAATTTTATTTTAATTTTAATTTATTTCTAGTTCCAAATTCTAATTCTAATTCTAATTTTAATTCCATTCAATTTGATTCGATTCTATGTAATTCTAAATTATAATTTTAAGTAAATTTAATTTGATTCGATTCTAATTCTAAACTCCATTTTTAAGTTAATTTAATTTTAATTGAATTTTGGTTTCAAATTCTAACTCTAATTTTAATTTCTTTCAATTTCATTTGATTTTCATTCTAAATTTTAATCTTAGTTTACTTCTATAGTTTCAAATTCTAATTCTAATTCTAATTTAATTCTATTTCCTAAATTTTAATTCTAACTTTATTTTAACTTAATTCGATTCTAATTCCAAATTCTAATTTTAAGTTGATTTAATTTTAATTTATTTCAATTTGATTCGATTTTAATTCTAAATTTGATTTTACGTTAATTTTATTTTATTTTCATTCTAGTTTTAAATTCTAATTTTAAATACAATTCTAATTCTAAATTTTAATTCTAATTTGAAATCCAATCCTAATTCTAATTTTAATTCTAAATTTTAATTTCTATATTCCAAAAGAAAAAAACCTACAATATTTTTTTTATAAGTTTCAAATTATAAGAAAATAAAATGAGTGCTTCTTTCTTTCTTTCTTTAAACAAAAAAAGTGAAGTTTTGATCAACAAAAAAATAATCGATAAATTCTTTCAGGAAACTCCTCAAAAATTGACAAACGATAGCGACTTACAGAATCGACAATTTGAGAATGAAGTTTCAATGCAAAAAAATGTAGATAAAAATAATTTCAATAAAAAATCAAGTCCTCAAAGTTTACCGCGAATTTACAATAAATCTGTAACTCAAGGTAAACGAGAGACTCAAGATGCTTCTAGAAAAACACCCACTGACGCTAATCAGTACGATACTCAAGATTACAAGGGTGAGCAATTTTCAATTATCAAACTTTAATTCAACTTTTTGAAAATTTCCTTTACATTTGGTAAAAGATTTTTATTAAATTTATATTGTTTGCTTTATATTATTATTTACCATGTATAAAGTTCATGCCTTTCTATTTTTTCAATTTTATTTTCTATAAATCCTTTTTCTTTTTTTCTATTTTAATTTTTCTTTCTATTTTAAAAATTTTTTTTTATAAAAATTTTATATCATAAAAACTTTATTTTTTAAACTAGCAAACGCTACGCGCGCGAAACGTGATATTCAATTTATTATTATTATTATGTAAATTACATAACTTTTTATTTTCAAATATGAATTTTTGAATAATTTCAGACTCAAACTTTAAAAAAAATTCAATTATTAACTAATTTACTAATTAATTATTCTTGTTTAATAATTTCAAAAATTTTAATAAATCGTTCGAAACAAATCAATTATTTTTTTAAATAGTAAAATTTTTGCAAAAATTGAATTATTTTTAAACAAATTTCACTAAAGAATTCAATTTTTTCTTTATTTGATATAAAATCTTTGCGAAAATTCAATTATTTTCAAAAAAATTTCACTAAAGAATTCAATTTTTTTTCTCAATTCTTTATAAAATTTTTCAAAAGAATTTTCAATAATTTTAATAAAATTCAATAATTAAATGTTTAATTTTAATTATTAACAAACATGATTATTTTAAAAACTTGAAAGAAATTGTTCATAAAATCCAATTATTTTTCAGATTTTTAATTAAAATTCTTAAAGAAACTTCATTGTTTAAAAAAAAATCCAAAAAAATTCTTCAAAAAGAGTTTAATTAAAATTATCAAAAATTTTAACTTATTTCTTCTCGAGAATGCAATTATTTTTCTAAATAATAAAATTCTTCGAAGGAATTCTATTATTATCAAATTTTTTTTATAAAATGTTTTGCAACAATTCGATGATTTTCAATAAATTAATTTTAAAAATGTAAAGTATTTAAAAAAATTAGGAAACAAAAAAGCAAACAACAATTAAATTCAAACTGCGAACAGATTACCGGAATACAACGATTATGTATTATTAATATAGAAGATGGAAGAATATATTTTACAAAAATTGTCTTTTAATTAAAAATTAGAACACCCCTTAATCTTTATTTTAATTAATTTATTTATTCTATTTATTTAATTAATTTAATTTTAAAAAATCTGATTTATAACCTTAAAAAAATTAAATTCGAAAAACTATTTCTAGATTATTATCAACAGCAACAGAAGCTTTACCTTCAACAGCAGCAACAATATCAGCAGCAAGCGAGCAACGATTACGCCGAGGGTTACAGTACAATACCCTCGAATGCTTATATCGATGAATATAAAGATTCGAAGGATTACGTCGAGGAACAAGACGCGCAACATTGGCGCAATTCCTATTATCCAACATCCAGTGGTCCAGCATCATACGGTTGCTCCTGTTACAGAAATGTCGCGACTGCAACCTCACAAATTGCAAGCGACAGACAGGGTTGCGGTAATTTGGGTGCAACATTTCTCCAAACACTTTTAATGCTTCTCGGCAATCTTTGGCAATTAATTCAAATAACGGCAACCAGTGCCATTCCCTTTGTGATACCAATTCTCGCACTAAAACTCATTCTTGTACCTATAAAAATATTCAAATTCCTTCAATTAATTAAATTCTTCTGCAAACTATTCATTATATTACCATTTATAATTCGTGTTATTTATCCCGCAATCACTGAGGGATTTTTGGAAAATCTCTTCTTCTCAAAGGAGCATCATCCCGATCATGATTACGATCATTCGGAGAGTCGTGAGGAGAGCAACGGTACTGGAAGTTGGCACAGTGATCTTAAACGGTACATTCAACATTACAGTAGTTTTGCCGATGATGCACTACTTCGCTCCTGTCCCAGTAAAGTCGCTTGTGAACTTGGCGCTTTTCTATCGACCTCAGCCACTGTACTTCCGGAAAAATTATCAAAATATCTCATGGATCGCGTCGAGGAAGCTGAGGATGCTGATAAAACAATAAAAAGAGACAACTCCCTGGAATCGGAGAGAGACAGTGCATTTAGAGCTTTTATCATTTCATTAGGGAGAAAGTGGTCTTTGGAGCAATGTGCCGTTTACACCTGTAGTATTGTCCTCTGAAACAAGCGCTCCGAGAAAAAAAAACATAATAACAAAAAGAGTTAAAAAGAATTCTGGACTTGGTAACATTTGCGGAAAAACAAACACTAGTACCAAATATTAATTTCAATTAAAATGTCTTAAATCTGTTTTTTTATTGTTTAACTACATAGATTGTGTAATAAGTATACACTTCAATTACTAAAAAGTCATTAATAATATATGAACGAGAAAATCATTCTAAAAGTTTGGTACCAACAAAATAGATATAATTTCCCCACACACACAATAATCAGTGCTACACTTTTAATATTCCACATGCAATTGTTTCAAGCTCAATCAATCTGATATTCTTTAAAAAGTTTATCCTTCCTGTATCACAGTTAAAACTTTTTTTTTTTTTGTTAACATATTTTCTTACAAATTGCAAATTTTTATTCCCGAGGATACTTCCCTTTTAATTAGGAATAACTGTATTATCAGTCAATGATTATTAACGCCGTTTTTTTGTGTTCCTCGTATTCCCATATTTTTATTTTTCACACACATTTCAAATTTCCATTTTTCAAAAAAAACAATTACATCGCCATCCTAAAACAAGTAAACAAATATATCCTCTTTAATTAAATTCATTGGATTTCTAAATAAGAAATAAAATTTTAATTTTTCGTGTCACGGCAAAAACAGGGTGGTCACAAGTTTCAGTTTATCAATTTCCCTGACATTTCCCTGAAAATTTACTGAAATTAAAATTACTTTCTCTGACAAAATTCTTTTTACAAAAAAATATGAATGTTTACGAAAAATGAGTAAAATTTATGAATTTTAATAATTACTAAAAATTACAATTATAACCCTTCCCTGACTTTAATGACTTTAACGACATGTGGCCACCCTGAAAAAGAAAAGTGTGTGTGTAAAATTGTTCTGACCTATTTTTAATTGGAACGGAAGTAATTTTTTTTTAAGTTGAGCTTAAATAGAGCGTTGAGCGTAGGAAAGTTACTGATTTTTATTTAATGAAATAAAAGCACTTGTGTTGTAAATAAAATGATGTTCTGTGTAAAGATTCGTTTTTTTTTATTTTGATTTTCTGTTTTGTTTTTTCTGTTTTGTTTCTGTTGTTTCTTTTTAGAGATGAAAAAAAAATTACCTTGGCAAACTGCACATTTCACACGAGGACAATTCGCCTGGATTTAAGAAAGTACAGTGCGGACATGTCCATAGTGGTTGTTCTGGAGGTGGATTAACTGGACCTGGTCCAACGCCAATTCCAACACCTCCAATTCCTGAGGAAGACGCCGAGTGGGTGGTATTTCCAAAAGTCACTCCGGGTGATGAATGCGAAGAGGCTGCAGTGGCTGATATCAATTGTTCAACTGTCGCCCAATGCTCTGAATGAGCCCATTCCGTGGCTTTTTGTCTATCATTTGTGCGAATCGCCTCCAAGAGAGGTGCCATGTGATCCTGTTTAAAATATTTCCAAAAACAAAATTAATTTCTATTCTGATAATTATTTATGTAATAATATTTTATTGATAATTAATTCTTCGGAAATTGTTGGTCAAATTATTCTAATCTCTAAGTTTCAATTTCACAGGTTTTAATTAATTGAAAAAGAAGAAAAAATACAAATTCATAAATTTCAAATTATTGAAAAAGAAAAGTAATAACACAAATTCACAAATTTTAGTTAATTGAAGAAAAATAGACACAAATTCATAAATTTTTCATAAATTAATTAAAAAAAAAAAAAAATTCACAAATTTCAATTTCTTGAAAAAAATAAACAAAAATTTCAATTTATTGAAAAAAAAAATAAATAAACACAAATTCATAAATTTCAATTAATTGAAGACAAAATAAACAAAAATTCACAAATTTCAATTAATTGAAAAAAATACACGAAAATTCAAAAATTTCAATTTATTGCAAACAAAAAATAAACACAAATTCATAAATTTCAATCCTAATTAAAAAATAAAAAATAAAAACAAATTCATTGAATTAACTGAGAAAAAAAATAAACACGAAATCAGAAATTTTAATATTACATAATTGAAAAAAATAAACACAAGTTTCAATTAATAAATGTTTTTTTAAAAGTTTTCACAATTATTGTAAAGACTGTTAAAAATTAACATTTTCAAGCAGCAAATTACAAATTGATTACAATAATTAACGTTCAAAAAAAATTCTAAACGTTCAAATGAAGGAAACATTTTTTCATTTATTCACAAAAATTAATGACTGCAATAATAAAAATTAAAAATTATTCATATTTATATTACAATTAAATTTTCAAATGCTTTGAAGATTTGTGAATTATTATTTAAAACATAAAAATTTAATTTGAAAACGAAGAAAATAAATAAATGTCTTTCATTTGAATGTTCAAAATTTTAAAACAGGATTGCCACAAAAATTTGATTTTTTTTCCTGACTCTTCCCTGATTTTCAAATAGAATTTTGAATTTTTCCTTTAAAACCCTAGGTATATCAAAAAATTAAATTGTATAAAATAAATTATTATGAGAATAGTAATCCTCGAATATTTTTATAAATTTTAATAAGATTCTTCAAAAATTCAATAATTTGTAATCGAATTTTAGGAAATTTCAGTTATTTAAAAAATGTAATTAAAATATTTTACGAACCTAATGTTACAGAATTTTAAATAAATTTTTTGAAAATTCAATTTTTAAAGAATATTTTAAGTTTAAATCTTTTTAACATTAACTAAATAATAAAAATTATAATTGTAACTCTTTGGAAATTAAATTATTTTCAAAGCATTTTTGACGATTTAATTTTTCCCTTTAATTTAAATTACATTTATAATTTTTTTCTAAAATGTTTTTAAAAATTCAAGTTACTTTGATAAATTGAATTTAAATTTCTATTTTTGCCTTAATTTTAAATAAAATTATTTATAACTTAAATAATTATTTTTAATTTCTTTAAAACGATTGAAATTTCCAATAATTTTATCATAAAACCTTCTGATCAGAAATTTAATTAATTCTGAAAATTTCAACTGCTTTCAATTGAAATCTGTTCTATAAGTCAATTATAATTATTAACTTGAAGAAAATTATTCTAAAATTTAATGATTTACTGAAATTTATTTTTTTTCCTGATTTTTCTGACTTGTGCGGCAATCCTGTAGAAGCACAAAAATTTTTTCAAATTGATTAAAATTTTTTTTCACCTTCAATGGTAGCATATCCATCGTTGTAATAAAAAGAAGTAAATGAAAATCAGAAACTGCTTCCAGAAATTGATCAGGACTGAATTGTTGCATATACGAACATAATGAATCAAATTCTTGCACTTGACCGTCGACCAGCCTAAAAAAATTAACATCATTTAATAATACAATAATAATAGTTAAAAAAAATATTAATAATAAAAATAGTAATAATAAAAAATTGTCTAAATAAAAATAGTTCAACAATTCTAATTTTTGTCAGATAATTTTGTTAGCAAAAAATTAACAAAATAATAACAATAATAATAATAAACAAAATAGTAATAAGAATAAAAAATAATTTTAAAAAACCAGTAAAAATTAAATAAATACTAATAAAAATAGTAAAATTTATAAAAATAATGAAAATAATAATTTTGTCAATAAATTTTCTTTTTGATCAAAATATACATTAATATAATTTTGTTTCAATTTACCTGTTTTCAACAGGGAACGGAGTGATAGTATCACTAGCATAGAAAGTAAATTGAGGTGTCAAAGGAGTTGACGCCGGAACATCGACTAATAAATATTCCACTGGCAGTGGTCTTGCTAATCTCAAAACTTCATTTCCATATGAATCTTTTTCCTGCAATGATAAAATCCAATAATTAGAATATGTTCTCTTTTTTCCGCCATGATAATTATTGTACAGTCAAATCTAATTAAGAAAACTACTTTTTATTTTATTAATAATAAAATACCATCCGGCAAAAATAATAATATAATAATAAAAAAGAAGAATCTTTAATTTTGCCAATAATTAAAAATTCCACCGAATAAATTTTTTTGTAAATTTAATACCAATTTTTTTAAATTTCGATTTTTAAAAATTTTAAATTGTTTTAGTTTACTCTAATTAATAAATAACTTTAATTAATTAAATTTTAAATAAATTTAATTAATTAATTTTCAAATAACTTTAATTAATTAATAAAATAACCAAATTATTTATTGTTTTATTAAGTAAAAATAATTATTTTTTGAAAATAATACGGGTTTTTAATATTTTTTTTCAATTAATTAAAAAAAACTGTTAAATAGGTAATTATAATGAATAATTAATTTAAATGTAAAAAAATGTTTTAATTTATTTAAAATTATAATTTTAATGAATTCTTTCAAGAATGATATATTATTGTATAATAAATATAATAATATAAGTATAAATTCGTATGATACCTATGAATGAATAAATTATGTTTAAAAAATGTCTATCAGTTAAAAAGTAATTAAGAAAGTACATTTAAAGAATAACTTTATTTTTTTTAACGACCACTCTTTAAATTGACAGTATGTCTCCAAGTTTAGAGCTTCAGTTGTAAACAAAAGAATTTTTTTAAAAATGCATATAGGTATATATAAAACGCTTATAAGGACTTTCAATAATTTTTTTTCTCAAATTATAATTGTATAAATTTTCCCAGGAACTGGAAATGCGCTTCGTGACAGTGAAGTCAAATATTGCGCGCGCATAGTCAATAAGTCAGTGCTGCCACTAAACATGAAAGCGGTCAACCATGAAACTATCAACTACCTCGAAGAACTTGAAAGTGAGACGGCATTATACAAGAGTACAAATGTGGGAATGAGAGGAGCTGATTAGTTTTTGACGTTGGAGGAGGATGAAAAGTGGCAGGCGCATTACATACTGGTGAAAGAGAGGAGTGAAGAGGAGGTAAAGGAGGGTGGAAAGAGGAAAGAGCAACAGCGTATACAGACTAGCGAGTAGCGCGCGCCTTGGTGTGTGTGTTGGTCGGTTGGTCCCTCGCCGCCATGCTAGTGGTTAGTTTAGTGAACCAAACATCATGATGTGGCAAAACGTTTGCACGAGTTAAGGTTGGAGTAACGCCGCGTTACCGGCGAGCCGTCGTTATGTTATTCGTAATTCACGTTCGATAAGCGTAAACACGCTCGTGTTAATAGTACAAAAGTTAAGTAGCCGCGACACGACGACGCAACGACACACAGTCCACATCCGCGAGAATCCGCGATTCCCGCGAATCGGTGCAGCGCCAAAGTCACACAAGCTTAAATCCTAATGTGAAGTCACGCGAATGTGAACGTTCTCGTAAACATCCTGACGAAGACGTTCCACACAGCTAGAGAGACGGGGTCTCTTTCTCATTGCAACCAGAGAACAACAAGAACAGAAACGGTATGGCAGACAATTTTTACGAATCAACTCCTCTCAACCAACATATAGACACGGAACGAAGGGTCAAGTACATGTTTGCGATTCCCCCCTCTATTATCATTCTTTTTCAAATAAAAATGCAAACTCCATTTGTCATTATCATATTGTGACACGATTATTGTCTCTGATAGACAATTTTCAAGTCCAGTGGGACTGTGGGACTTGTGGGACATTTCGTCGCATGGCTGCCTGCCAGATAAGCCCGTTGCTCTCTGGTCATCATTTTTATCAGCATTACACAAACCTACGGAATACGCACAGTGCTGTACGAAGCAACTTGACACATACGCTTCATTACGCATTTCTACTTTCGTCCCCTCCCCAACCATTCTCCTTCCTGACCTTCTGTCCTCGTCAGTTGTTCCTTTCCGACACCCAGCCCCCTTTGCCCATCTGAGTTTTGGCGGGCTTTTAAGCGCATGCGCCAACCTGATCAAAATATCATTTTCTTTTTTCTTTTTATTTGTTGTCGAGACTTGGTTGCATAATTACCGAGAAACCGGTGAGATGAGATGAGAAGGGTGAAACAACACCGACTTTACAGATAAAGATCGCGCCATCGAGTAATGCGCTTTCCTATGAAAGATGTGCCGGAAGGACGAGTCCATCCGGATTCCAGGCTCGTTCAAATTCATTCCAATTTTGACACAGTTTCCCCAAAAAAAAAACATTATTGAACAAATGTTCAAATTTAAGCTTAAAAAAATATATTTTTCATGAAAACTTTAATTTCAGATGCTGGATCCAAGTGTATTGACAGATTTGGAGGAGTTGACACTATGCAGTTATTGCAAACAGAAGTACAACGATTCAGAGCAATGCCCAAAGTTTTTGAGTTGCAAGCACTTCTTCTGTTTGCGATGCATAGAGAACAATTTCATAAAAGGCCGTGAATTATTTTGTGCTCATTGTTGGAAGAGAACTGAATTGGGCGATCAAGGACCCGATGCCTTGCCAACGCATTCTGCACTTCTTGCGCTAGCAAATAATTTTTCACATCTCAAGATAACATCGAACAATACGTCCGTTAAGCCCATTGAGAAAGAGAGAAAGGTATTAAACACGAGTTTACATTATTAACAAGAGAATCACAGCTGACAAATCTTTTTTCACTCACCCCCGCCCCCCTCTTTTTACCAAAAAAAAACCCCTTTTCAAAAAGGAATTAATTTAGGAACAGTTTTCAGAAAAATTGAAAGAATTGAAAAAAAATTGAAATAAACAAAAGAACAAAAATTGAAAGAAACAAATATTTGAACAATAATTGAGTTTGTTTTGTTGAAATAAAAAAAAATACGATTGTGATAATACAATGATCAAAGTTATTATTATTTGAGAACGATTACAAAACCCTGAAAGAAAGTATTAAATTCGCGACTTGGAAAGTTTTGTTTCTTGACATTTGTACAACTATTGTAGTTGACGGATCGTTGACTATAAATATAAGTGTTAATTTTTAAATCAAACTTTTAAAGTTGTTATATATGTAAAGTAAAGAAAGTATATGGCATAAGTGTGAAGCCGTACCTACAAAAAAAGGTTCTCAAAGTAATGGGATTATGTTGTAAAGGTCAGCTATACCTTTATTTAATGCAATGCAAAGTGATTCCAAAACAAATTAACTTTCAGATTTTTTGGAATTTTTTTCCACCCTTTGAATCATATTTTCGAACAGAAATTTTCATTACATGACAATTTCAGGGTTAATCACAGGTCAGGAAAAACGGTAAAAAAAAATTGATCAGAAAAATCAAGGAATTTTATCAAAAAAAAAAGTAGTACTGGAAAAATATCAAATTTCTAGAATTACTACAAAAATTTTGTTTTTGACGTTGGAAAACATTTTTAATAAACTTAAAAACTTTGAATTCTCTTCGAATTTTCATCAGACAAAAATTTTTTTTCAGAACTTTTGAATAACAACAAATTTAAAAATCTTTATTATTATTATCTTTATTATCATCTCAGTTAAAAAATTATAGAAAATTCAATAAATAATTAAATTGTAGAATAAAATCTGTTCAAGTTGTTCGATTATAATTAATTGGAAAAATTTTGATTGAAAACAGTTGCAATTTTCAGAAGTAATTAAATTTCAGATCAAAAGGTTTTAACCCGAAAGTTTTGAAAATGTCAATCGTATTAAAGAAATTAAAAATAATTATTTATTTAAAAAATGATTTAAGTTTTAAGTAATTTTATTTAAAATTATGAAAAAATAGATTTGAGAAATTTTAATTCAATTTTTCAAAGTTGAATTTATTTACTTGCATTTTTTGAAAACATTTTACTAAAAAATTATAAAATTAATTGAATTTCTATGAAATTTAATTGAAAATAATTAGGAGGTTATAATTAATTTTTTTTATCTAAATAATTATTTAAGTTTTAAATATGTAATTTTATTTAAAATTCTGAAAAAATGTTTATTAAGAAATTTTTATTTAATTTCGCAAAATTAAATTTTTGAAAACATTTTACACAAAAATTTTCAAATTCATTAAATTTTTGTGAAATTGAATAGAAAATATTTGTGTTAAAGAATTTTATTTCTGTTAGAATTTTTTTCCATCTTAAGAACATTTAAATCACAACGAATTTTAAAACCTTTCTTTGATTTTTATTTCAGTTCAAAAATTATTGAAATTTCGCCAAATAATTAACTTTTAGAATAACTTTCTTCAAGTTAATAATTATAATTAACTGAGAAAAGATTTTAGTTGAAAACAGTTGCAATTTTCAGAATTAATTAAATTTATTATCAAAAAGATTTAAACTAAAATTTTTGAAAATTTCAATCGTTTGGTTAAATTAAAAATTAATGACAATTAAAAATAATCAATTATTTGTTGAAATAATATTATTTAAAATTCTAAAAAAATAAGTTTCTGAGAAATTTTAATTAAATTTTTTAGATACTTGAATATTTAAAAACATTTCATAAAAAATTATAGTATTAATTTAATTTCTAGATTGGATTTTGAAATTCTAAAATTGAATTAAAAATAATTTAAATATTTTTTAAAAAATTACACTGAAATTTTGTGAAAATAATTGATGAATGTTTGTCACAGTAATTAAATTTCTTTTCAAAATAGATCCACTCAAAGTTTTAAATCAAACGTTTGCTTCTAAAAATTATCATTTTTTTCTAATTGAACTTCCCTGGAATTCTTAAAAAAAAAGAAGTGAATTTTCTGTTTGAAAATCAGGAAAACTCAAAAATCGAATTTTCGTGTCAACCCCGAATAGAATCTCAATTTTGATTTTTCATCTCGTGACCCGAGGAATTCATAACATATTGATCATTTCAGAGTGAGAATTGTCACACGCATGGCATGCCACTAGCATTATGGTGTGGAACGTGTTATACGTCCCTCTGTCGAGCTTGTGCAACACCACAGGAACACCCTGGTCACCAGATTAAATCACAGACTGATGCCAAAGATCAACTCATAGCCGATGTAAATAGACCAAATTTTCTCGATTTTCTATCTCAATTCCAAATTTTTCTATATTTTCTATCTCGATTCCAAAATTTCCTATATTCTCTAGTTTTCATTCAAAAATTTTCTATCTCGATTTCCTTTTTTTTCAAAAAAGTAACAAATTCGACTTTCCCTTTTCTCTCTCTCTCTCTTTAAAAAAAGCATAAAAAAAGAAAATTCTTCAACAGGTTCAAGTGGAATTAGTTGCAATGGGAAAATTGTCATCCGAAATTCAAAGACTGGCAATGCAACAGCGAGAATTTTTAATAAAAGTATTGGAGGCTTGTGTAACATTGAAAACGCACGTTGAAACCGATTTGCAAAATGGTTGGAGTCACTTCCCAGAGATCACGGATGCACGCGAAACATTGGGCAAGGCAAAAGCGAGCTTGCAAATGATTGACAATCCAAATGACGTATACAGTTTACATTCACAGTTGATTATTGAAAAGCAAAGGTTGCAATCAAAATATCAGGAGATGATATTGCAATGTCAATTGGATGATTTAATAGGCAATTCGGGTGTGATTTTTGATTTTGCATTATTAAAGCAAGCATTGGCTGGAATTCATTCGGGCGAGACGGTGTTACCTCAAACGCACGGTAACGGTGGTCGATTAGCGGCTTCACAAAATCCTATTTTGTTTCTTGCTAATTATTGTATGTCGCAATTGTACTCGAGGCATATGGTCAGCAAGCAACACTTGCAAAATGGTTCGATAGACTATCATTCGAATATGATGTCATCGCAAGGACCAACAGGTTCGGTGCACGTTCATCAGGGACCGCCTCAACAACAACAACAGCAACAACAACAACAGCAGCAACAACTTCTCATTCCACCAGGTTCACCGTCCGTAAAATCGGTCACGTCAGCGCCACCAAACACAATGATCCATCCCCAACAGCAATCCACATTTATAGCCGACGCCGGTTCTAGTAGCGGTCCTCTAGTTACTGTCCATTCTCCTCAACAACCGTCCAGCAATATTAATCTTCGCGGGCCCTCCAATCCCTATCCAATGTATTATTTCAATATAGAAGTTAATGGATCGCCGCACGGTCGCATTGTCATTGAAGTGAGACCCGATGCTGCGCCAAAAATGGCGAAAAATTTCAGTGTTCTTGCCACTGGGGAAATTGGAGTTGGCTATAAGGGTTGCTCGATATTTCAATGTTGGGAGGGCGAGTCAGTGATAACCGGTGATTTTGAATTGAATAATGGTCGCGGCGGTCGTAGTATATTTGAAGACGGTTATTTTATGCCTGACGATACAAAATTCCCATCGGTGCGTGGTGCAGTCGGTATGCGACGAACCCAAAAGCGTCACGACAATCTCGGAATGGTTGGTTCACAATTTCGTATAATATTACAGGAAATGCGCGGTTTCACTGCAATATTCGGCCACGTTGTCGAGGGCCTTGAATTGGTGGAAAAAATATCAACATTCGGTGATCAAACCGGCAAGCCAACGAAATCAATTTTGATCACCAAATGTGGTAAATTGTAACGATTGGATGAGGCGCGAGTCCGACAAGTCGCCACGATATCCATCGTTCTTTTTTTCTTGTTTTCCAGTCATGATTTTATGAAAAGTTGCGTCGTTACTATCAAAGGGTGGGTGGTGTGCAATGAAATAGTTCAATTTTAGGGGGTGGGGGTCGGGGTGATAAAAAGGCAAGTTTTAATGAATTAGGAAAATTTATTGATGAAATGTGTTCCGAACTAATTGATGTCAAGTCTTTGTGTATGCATGGCGGACACAAAAAAAAGAGTCTTGTTTTTAGAGAGGGAAAATTTGTAGAAATAAATCGCTAGTTCGCGCAATCGCTCCCGAAGTACCTTTTTTGTGCACGGTGCTTCAAACGTTAAAGAAAATCACACAACTTTGAATTAACTAAACGATAGATGAAGATGAAGAAGAAGAAGAAGAAGCAGAGTGTTGAATCTATTTTTAAACGTGGAGGAAATAATGAAAAATGCATATTTTGCTATTGATCGGGAATTTTCGCGAATCAATATCTATTTATAAAAAAAACGATGATCGGCGCGTACGTACCTCAGATCGATCTTCATATCGATACGACTCCTAGCTATATTGGTACTTGTTTCAGAAAAAATTTTCTGAACGTTTATTTTCGCTATCGGCGTATTGTCTAGTTTTAAATGCATCGTGCCACCGCAACGATAACGGTGTCTAAAATGCATAAACTTTAGCTCGTTGTTAGATACGTGTAAAATGGGGGAATAAGTATAAAATAGACGGGGCGATCGTACACATATAAATAAATAACAAATATACAAAAAAAATATATATATATATATTATAAAAAGAAGCATATATATTTTTAGACGGGGACTTGTGTGTTTTTTGGCTCAAGTGCATGACTTGACAAAAGTAAAAAAGATAAAGAAAAAGAGTAAAAGAAAAACGACATGAAGGTCGCATAGATTCAATTGAAGCGGTTTTCGTTTCCTTTTTTTATTTCCCTTTTTAAAAAAATGGCCGATCGTTACATCCTTCCAAAGAAGAAAGAGAAAGGAAGAAGATAGTCTGCGTAGCGATTCCAAAATACCTCCTATTTGAACGTAGACTTTAAAAAGAAAAACTCCCTTTCTGCTTTCCATCGACTAGCGGATTTTGTCGTTGAATAAATAATTATGTTTAAGATTGGATCTCATTGTCAGTACACGAATGTATGCAAGGCCTAAAATACCGCATAGAACGAACGTTTCGTAGCTTCTGAACGCGAAAAACGAATGACATATGAGCGGATATATTGTATGATGAAGAAAAAAAATAAATATTTAACGAAATCATTCCTTTATAATGTATATCGAAATATGTACTACGACTATGTAATGCGTTATTAATAATTGTGTAAAATGTCGTGAAACAAAAAAAAAATCCCAACGTAACGAATGTATTATACTATTACAAATGTACACATTCATTTGCGAAAGCGAGTCGCGGAATCTCGCAAAAAACGTACAGACACACCTATATATTATAGATATGCACGTCCTCGTCGTCGAGATTGCCTTTTTCGAAGAAAAACCTCATTCGATGTTGAACTTGAAAGTTTTAACGCTGTTAATTATCTATTAAATGAGTATGTAAACGCGCGAAAAACGCATGACGAATCGAAAAATGCGGCTAAAAAAGAAAATGCTAGACTCGGAAAAGGTGGACGAGCTCGATTAGAAAAAAAAAATCTCGTTCCGGTCGTAACGACAAAACTTGTACAATATTTCGAGCCTCGACGTGAGAAAAACAAAAAAACAAACAAAAAAAATAAATAAAAATCTATTATATATATACGAATACACGCTCATCTTACCGAAACGAGCAGCCCACCTGTACATATATTTTTATTGAACGTGAGGAAACAGATCGATCCGATCTCGAGTATCATTGGCTCTCGATCACTTGTCCTCGTGTTCAAGAAAAACAAAAAAAAAAAAACTTAGCGATCATTACACTCTTTAATTCTTGTTTTTACGTCTTTCCATTATTCTTTAATTTAAGGCACAACAAAAAAGAAAAATCGAATTTGTTCCTTTCAAGTTTTACGAAAATGATAGTTGAAAAAAACAGCACTTTTGTTTCAAAGATCCAAAACTCATTATTTTACGGCTTGAATATTATATAAATAATCCGTTACCGAACTCGATGTACTTTTTAAATATTCAATTTTTGAGTTATAAATTTTTATCCCCTTCAAAAACAAAAAGTCTTTCTTTATCCTCCAGTCTTCACCCTCTTTTTTTTCATATTAGAGATTTTTATTTTAAGGTAATTGGACGTCTCAAACTATCGAAAATAAGAAAACAGAAATTTTAACCTTTGTTAAAAAAATATTTTACAAAAGAAAATCAAACTTTGGTTTACTAATTTCGATTTTTTAAAAAACTATTCCATAAAATGAAATAAAGTAAACTAAACTGTGGGTCCAAGTAATATAAAAAGATGTTAAAATAATTTTTTTCGTTTCAAAAAAATTTTAGATGAATTCGTTCCAATTACCTCTCAATATTGAAAACACGAATATTTCGACACGATATATTTAATAATATGTACGTTTCTCAAACAATCATTTTTTTTTTGTGACAAACGACACGTGTCATGTCTTTAAGAATTATTTTTTTTGTTTTCTAATAAATAAATTTAAAATCCACAAACGCGTACGTTTGTCAACTGTGATAATGCGGTTAAAGCGTCACACACAAAAAACACACTTACCTTATAATAAACGTCAGGAACATATTGTTTATCCGAAGATTCAATCACGTAGCCAAGCTCGGGTGCATCTTTTGTAGGCACCAAACAACCATCTCGTACCAGCGCCATACATTGGTTCGAAACTTCGTAGCCCTCCATGTGCACCTGATTTTTGTTATCTCCTGTAAATTGAAAAACAAAAATTAAATACATACCAACAAAAATTAATTATACAAAAAATAAATGCATGCAAACAAAAATTGAATACAAAAAACAAAAATTGAATATAAAAACGAAAAATAAATACAGACAAACAAAAATTAAATACAAAAAATAAATGCATACAAACAAAACTTAAATACAAAAAACAAAAATAAATACAGATAAACAAAAATTAAATACAAAAAATAAATGAATACAAACAAAAATTGAACACAAAAAATGAATACATACAAACAAAAATTAAATACATTAAAACCAAACTAAATACAAAAAAAAAGAAAATATAAAAAACACAGTTAAGTTAACGTTACATTTCGCAAATTAACACTATTTCCAATCACACACAAATCTTCCATTTTCCGTAGACTGGAATTAAAGCTAATGTCAAGAGTTGAGACGATTTTAGAATTGTAAGATCATTGTTACGTTTAAGAAAAACTTGATGTATGCAATTTGCAAAAAGAAAAATTACAAAAAAAAAATGCGTACGTTATAAACTCTCACGAAAGAAAAATAAATGTGTGAGCTCGAATAAAGCAAAGAATAGAAAATATTCAGAGGTTATTAGTTTTTGTAAAAGTGCACTCTATTTTCTTTTTTTCTTTTAAAAAATAACGACAATTTCAAATTTTTGAATGTCGATTCAGGGCGGCTGAAAATTCCGCTATTTTTATTTCACGTATTTTTCATTTTTCTGATATTTCAAAAAATACAAACAATTCCGTTTTTTTTCATTTCAAAAAGAAAAATTCAAATTTTTTAAAGAAAATTACCGATATTTTTATTTTCAAAATAAAACTACCAATTTTTTTATTTCGAAAAGAAAAGTTCCAATTTTTTATTTTGGAAAAAAATCCCAATTTTCTAATTTCAAAAACGAAAGTCACCATTTTTTAAGATTCTGTAATACAAAAAAATTACGTCGATGAAGTTCACAACGTTTATAGTTAACGATTAATGAAAAAGAAAATATTTTTTAAATGTAAAATAATAAAATTTTTCTTTTTAAAATAATTGATAAGACTTTTTAAATACAATCTATTCAATATTTTTTCTTTCGAAAAGAAAAATACCAATTTTTTTTTATTTCGAAACGAAAACTCTCGATTTTTTTATTTTGAAAAGAAAAGTACCAATATTTTTAATTCCAAAAGGAAACTTCCAATTTTTTTATTTCGAAAAGAAAAATTTCAATTTTGCATTTCGAAAAGAAAAATTCAAATTTTCTAATTTTAAAAACAAAAGTCACAATTTTTTAAGATTCTCAAATAGTTAAAAAATGACGTCAATAAAGTTATTATAATCAACGATTAAGGAAAATGAAAATATTTATCACAGGAAAGACAAGAAAATTTTACAATTTTTCCTTTTTAAAATAATTAAGAAGAAAAAATTGTAAATACTTTTTCAAAACGGAAAATTTTAAAAACTTGCTTACAAAAATATTTTTTCTCCTAATTCGTAAATCATAAACGTGATGAGCTTCACCAATGTAAAAAATTAATTACTAATGTAATAATTATTTAAATATGAATTTTTATTTACGCAAATATTCAATGCTAAAGTAAACAAAAAAAGATTGTTTGTATTTTTTTCAGAATTTTTGTTCAAAATAAAATATTCCCGAATTTTCACATTGCGAGTAAAGAAAAGAAATATTTAACATAAATATTCTGAGAATCGTCTTTTATCATTTCCCTAGAATACATATCTAGTTAAAAAAATATTTCTCTTCTTTATTAAGAAAAAAGTATACGACATTCTTTATTAATTTAAAAAATGCAATTAGTTGTTAAAGTTAATTATTTTTCTCTGCAATTTATTTCCACTGGATTAGGGCATTTGAATTATTATTATTATTACTATTATTATTATTACTATTATGTATAAAATAAAGGCCTTTTATCGAAATGAAAAGAACTTTTCGTCAGAAAATAAAAAAAAAAAATATTTACTGTCAAGATTGAAGTATTTTTAAGTCTTAAGAATGGGCCCAAATGAAAACACAAACTATCGTTAGCTTTAATGTCATTTAGATAATTTCTATTTCATAATATTCTCCCTTTCAGTCTTCTATTATTATTAGATATTTATTTTACACGAAAACTTTGGAAATTGTCCAAAAAAGGGCAAAATTTTAGCAAAATAATGAATTGTAAAATAATTGTTACAAAATTCTGCAATAAGTCTTTGTAATAAATTAAAAACACAATAACGTTAATTAATATTATATTATAAATAAAGGTGCCAAAGACTTTTCTTTTGCATTATTTCGATTCCAAAATTATGCATATCAGAATATTGAAAAATTAATATTTTACTGTACAATGTTAAAACTTTATCGAGTTGCAATTTGTACAGAAAAGTAAAATTTCAAAGACCAAATATTGTTTCAATTATTTTACATTTATTACTACTAACTTATTTTTTTTATTATTATTTTTATTTATTTTTTTAATTTTCTTTTTTATCTAATTTTTATCTTTTAATTTTCTTTTTGTTTTAATTTTTATCTTTATATTTTCTTTTGGTTCTAATTTTTGTCTTTTCTTTTTGTTCTATTTTTTATCTTGTAATTTTCTTTTTGTTCCAATTTTTATTTTTATATTTTCTTTTTGTTCTAATTTTTACCTTTCAGTTTTCTTTTTGTTCTATTTTTTATCTTTTAATTTTTTTCTTTTTTAGGTATTGAATTATATTTTCAATAATCGATAAATGAAGCAAAGAGGGGAATATTATCAGACAGAAATGAAGAAAGAAAAAACTATATAAAATAATAAAAAAAACACACAGAAAACTCAATAAATAATTTACAATAACATGTGAGAAATCAACATCAATTAAAAATTTTTAGATTTCAAGACAGGCATAAATATGTAGACTTACCAGTAACGCAAACTGTAACAAATTTCGAGCCAAAGTTACCACTAGCTGAAAACCGACACGGATTAGGATGTTGATTTTGAAAGTAGCCAGCCATAATGCATTCTTGCGCCGACAAAAAGTGACTTTCTATGTTTCTCACATGCTTTACCTGGGGAAAAAAGCGAGAGAAAAAAATGGTAAATATATATTATATATGTGGATATAGAAATTATTTTTTCCAATACGACGAAATACCTTTTAACTGTCAGTTTATAAGTCTCTAAAATCGAGAGAAAGTGGTAATTTTTCGTGCTTGATAATCCAAAAACTAGCAAATTGAAATCATTTCCAAAATCGATAATTTTTACAGAAAAATTAATAAATTCTAATCAAAAATACAAAAAGGAAAAAGTAACAATAAAATACAAAGTTAACAAAATATAAAAATTGTGTGATTGCACAATTATACAATTGTACAAAAAAAATTTGAAATTACAGAAAAAAATGAAAATACTTCGCTAAAGAGTTTCAAAAGTAATCTTGAACCTCCCTTTTACCACTTTCTCTCTTAAAAAAAACTCGATTGCCAACGTCGTAAATGGAAGACAATTGTTATGGCCACCTCTTAGCTTTATAAAAATTGTAAATTTAAAATAGCACAGACGAGTGTGCGATACAACAATAAATATGTATATGCAACAATAAAGTTGTACCGACCTAGATTGTATTAAGAAAACAAAAAAAAAAAAATTATGGATGTGCATTTCTTGAGAGATACAAATAGCGTAAAAGCTAAACGTGAAAGTTTGAAAAAATTATCACGACTTCGCAAACCGTTCGATATTTTGTAATATCGGTCACAAAACAATATTGTATGAGTGCATTTAATTTCTGTGTAAAGAATATCCGATAAAAAAAAAAGAAGAAAAATAATGAGAAGTCTAACTAAAAAAAAAAGAAGAAGCAAGAACTACTCGTGCATGACCATGTAATTATTGTTGTAAATCTATGAGCAAAATTACAGACGGGATTGGTTAGCAGAATCTCTCTTGTTTTTTATTGTTATTCGAATTTTTTTATTCTTAAATTTATAAAAATTAGTTATTAACCCCTCGAGTGCCAATGACAAAAATTTTAAACGTTAAATCTATGCCCTAGCAAAGATTTGACGGTGAAAATCATTGTCATTGGCACTCGAGGGATTAATTAATATTATTAATATTTTATTATAAATTAATTAATAATATATTATATATTTATTTATTAATCCACACCTTTCGGTTTTGGACAAACTTTCGATTTTTACTTAATATATTATAAATTAATCATATATATAATAATAATATTTATAATTAGGAAATGTAATTAATTTTCAATTTCTTAATTCTTGAAAAAGGTTGAAATACTTACAGTGCCCTTTTTGACATCGTCAGCAATCAAATCAGTGAATATCCAACCGACTCTTCGAAGATTTAGCGAGTGAGCCAGCTCGTTCACTAACGATTCTTTTCCATCAGGCAGAAGTGTGACATTGTCTCGAGAACTTTCCTGAAGTTCAAAAAAAGTTTCGTTAATAACTAATCTAAGATTAATTAAAAAATAAAACTAGCTTTTTGATAATTGCTTCCTCATAGAGGAAGGATTGTATTTTTCTTTTTACACGAAGAGAATAATATAATAAATTTTGTAAAAATATTTTACAATTTGGGGGAAAAATTTAATTAAAATTCTTAATATTTGATTTATAATTATACTAAATTTCACATTGTAAATTTTTTAATGTTTAGTATTTTTTATATCAAAATTTCTCTTTGTCGCATTTTTTCCCTCAAATTGTAAAATACTTTTAGAAAATTGAAAATTTATTTTCTCTCCGTGTAATGTTTTGAATTTTAAAATTAATGAAATTTCGATTTTAATGCTTTGAAGTTAAAAAAAATACGAAAAATTAATTAAACCATATTGTTTTCAATTAAAAATATTAGTTTTATAATTTTGAATCTGAAATTAGTGAATTCTTATAAAGAATGTTACAAACATTTTCCAAAATAATTTAATTTATGCGAAGAATTTTATTATTTTGGAAAAGAATTAAATTCTTGTAGAGACTTTATAAAATTATGATAATAATTTAATTTCTATAAACAATTTTATGAAAATTTTTTAAAGTTAAATTTCCGCGAAGAATTTTATTAAAATTCTTTAAGATAATTAAATTCCTGCGAGAAATTTTTATAAATTATGAAAATAATTGATATTTTGTTAAGAATTTAATAAAATTTTTCGAAAATAATTCAATCTTTTCAAAGAATTCAATTAAAATTGTATTAAAAATAGGTTTTTCAATTTTCATAAAGAATTGAATTTAAATTTTTCAAAATAATTTAATTTCTGCGAAGAATCGTATTAAATTAAAAAAAATAATTGAATTCTTTTGAGAAGTCCTATTGAAATTATTTTGAAAATAATTGAATTGTAGCTAAAAAATATTATAATTAACATTTTTATAAATAATTGAAATTTTGATAAAAATTTTTATTAAAAATGTATTAAAAATATGTGAATTCTTATAAGGAATTTTACACAAATTTTTCAAAATAATTGAATTTTTGCAAAGAATTTAATGAACAATTTCGAAAATAATTGAATTTTTTCGAGGAATTCAATTAAAATTTTATTGAAAATATTCCGATTTTCATAAAGAATTTAATCTAAATTTTTCAAAATAATTAAATTTTTGCGAAGAATTATATTAAATTTTTAAAACTAATTGAATTCTTTTGAGAAATTCTATTGAAATTGAATTTCCTAAAAGTAATTAAATTCCTGAGAAAAATGTTATAATTCACATTTTTATAAATAATTTTATTCTTTCGAGAAATTTTATTAATTATGAAAATAATTGAAATTTTGATAAAAATTTTATTAAATAAAAATGTATTTAAAAAAAGTAAATTGTTATAAAGAATTTTAAACAAATTATTCAAAATAATTCAATTTCTGCGAAGAATTTTATTAAAATTCTTTAAAATAATAAAATTCCTGCAAAATTTTTTATAAATTTTGAAAGTAATTAAAAATTTTAATAAGAATTTAATAACCATCCTCAAAAATAATTGAATTTTTTCGAGAAATTCGATTAACATTCTATTGCAAATATTTCACTTCTCATAAAGAATTTAATCAAAATTTTTGCGAAAAATTTTATCAAATTTTAAAAAAGTTGAATACTTTTAAGAAGTTTTATTGAAAATAATTGAATTCCTCAGAATTTTTTTCTTTTTAGCATTTAAATATAAAAATTAAGAATTTGTCGGACAGTCAAAACAAAAATTGGAGCATTTTCATAGTTTTGGATTTTAAAAGAAAAAGACAAATTCAAATTTTGAATTCGTTTTTTAGTGGAAAGGCAAAGATTTTAATTTTCAAGATTTTAAACTATCAGAAGTTGCATTTTTTGTCAATAAGAAATATTTATTAAATTTTAGGTTATGTTATCTAAATTATTTCTTAATAGCGGAAAATTGCATTTTTATTCAAATGCAACTTGAAATTATTTAAAATGCTGAAAATTAAATTCTCTACCCTTCTACCAAAATTAATTTAAACTAGCAAAAACTGACGCGCGCGAGCGCGCGTGCATTTTTTTTTCAACGTTTTATTTTAAATAATTAAAACTTTATTTTTTCAGCGAATTTGAACCATTATGATGTCACAATTTTTTAGCAAATGCTGTGAACAGATTGTGACGTCATTATGGTTCAAATGCCATTAAAGAAATTATTTCATCTTCTATTAATTAATATATTTTTGCATTTTCTTTTTTTATATAAATAAATTAAAATTTTTATTTATTAATTGAAAATATCTGTTCGCAGTTTATATTTTTTGTTTGTTTAATATTTTAATAATTTTATGTTTTAATATATATATAAATATATTTTTTCTATTAAAATAGCAATTCTTTAAAATGATTATTATTATTTTTAAGGGTATTTTAATTATTATTATGACGTTATAATGTTTTAAATAAATTTAAAAAATGGAAATGCTGGAAAGAATGAAAAATACATTTTTTTTAGAAATATAAAATTATTCAATTAACATCTTCTATCTTTATATCTTCTCTCTATATTAATATCTTCTTCTTCTATCTTCTTTGATTTAGTTGTAATTTACTTTTTTGTTTCCTATCTTCTTTAATAATTTTATGTTTCAATATTTTTAATTTTAGAGGCATTTCACGTCAGAAATATCACGATTTGCAAAGGGTATGCCGATTTTCGCAAAACTTCGTGGGATTATAGTTCTATATAAGAGACTTCTTTCCCCCAAATTTTTTCAAAAAAATTCAAAATTGTTGAAGATACGCCATTTTGAATTTTAATATTAATTTTATAAAATTTTGAATATCTCGGAATATTGTTTATGGATTTTTATGAAATTTACACATTTTTCAGGTAAAAGTATGTACTTTAAAATGCAAATAAAGTTAATAAAAAAAAATTAATTTTTAAATAAAAAAATTAAAAAAAATTTTTTTAAACAATTTTTTGTTTATTTACTCCTCTCTGAGAAAAATGTTATTAACATATTTGGATTCCTTATGAATTCACCTTTAATTTCATAAAAAAAAATTGATGGAGACTCAACTGGTTCCGGAGATATTGAATTTTTTGTAAAAAAAAGCGTCGCCGCGCCATAGCACCATACTGCACAAGTCGCGTAGTACGTTACCGCAGTCGTGCATTGCTGCTGTAACTATGACTATTTTTTACAAAAAATTCAATATCTCTGGAACCAGTTGAGTCTCCATCAATTTTTTTTTATGAAATTAAAGGTGAATTCATAAGGAATCCAAATATGTTAATAACATTTTTCTCAGAGAGGAGTAAATAAACAAAAAATTGTTTAAAAAAATTTTTTTTAATTTTTTTATTTAAAAATTAATTTTTTTTTATTAACTTTATTTGCATTTTAAAGTACATACTTTTACCTGAAAAATGTGTAAATTTCATAAAAATCCATAAACAATATTCCGAGATATTCAAAATTTTATAAAATTAATATTAAAATTCAAAATGGCGTATCTTCAACAATTTTGAATTTTTTTTGAAAAAATTTGGGGGAAAGAAGTCTCTTATATAGAACTATAATCCCACAAACTTTTGCGAAAATCGGCATACCCTTTGCAAATCGTGATATTTCTGACGTGAAATGCCTCTTTAATTAAAATTAATATATTGAATTTCATTTAAATTCTTGCAAAAAATTTGAGAATCATTGAATTTCTTCAAAAAATGTCATTATTTATGAAAATAATTCAATTTTCGCTAAAAATCATTAAATCAATTTTGGAAACCCTAATTAAATTTTTCTGAAGAATTATTTTTTATTTTTTGTTTAATAATTGTGTTTCTTTAATAATTTTAATTGGATATTTTTAAAGTAATTTAAATTTATGAACAATTTTTTTCAAGTTTTTAAAACTAATTTTTAAATTTGTAAATTTAGTTGAAACATCTATTGTTTACATTTATCCCTTGTTTACAATTACCCCAAATGGCCCTAATTGTAAATTGATTGTTTTGTTGATTTTTGAATTTTATTTCGGAATAATTCAATTTTTTATTATGTATTTTTCATGATTTGAAGACTTTATATAGTCTTTAAAAGACTTGATAGTATTTAAATAGTTGAAATGAAAGGCGGTGCCTAAAGTATTTTTTTTAAGTTCATTATTTTTTTTTCTTTTTAGAAAATCTATTTTCTATAATATTGTGTTAAAAAAAACGTTAACATTTTATATTTTATTTGAACAGAAGATAACGATAAGTTTAATTCTTGCAAAAGAAAGCACTTATAAGTTAATTCTACACACAAACACACACAGAAATACGTTTATTTTTTACGTAAGTGCCAATAAATTAATTTCAATTTTTTATTTAAAATGAAATAATTTAATTTTGAATTAATTGTATTTTTGATATTTGAATAATTAATTATTATTTTGAACAATTACATTTTTCAATGATTTCAAAATAATTAAATTTTTATTAAAAACAGAATAATTTATTTTTGAATTAATTAAAATTGTTTGATTTATTTTTGAATAATTAATAATTGACTTTTGAATTATTTAAAATTCAAATATTGTAAAAAATTAATAAAATATTTAAAAAAACAATTTATTTTTAACATAATAAAAAAAGTAATTTATTAAAATACTAAATTCAAATAGATTTTGAATTGCAATTATTTTTAAAAATAAATAAATTTTTTGTGTAAAATCATTTTTTTAAAATTAATTAAAATTTGAAACAATTGAATTTTTTTTTTCATTTTTGAAAAATTAATTATTTCGAACAATTTTTTAAACATAAAAGAACCAGGAGCTATTATCACTCATAATAGCAATCAAAAAAAGCACACACTAAAGGGATCGCTCTTCCCAAAAAATTTAGACTCTAGATCCTGCACTGTATAAGTTAATAATTGAAGATTAATTAAATTTTTGAAAAATTAAATATTAAAAAATTAATTATTTTGAATAATTAATATTATTGAATAGTAATTTACGAAAACGACCAATGTAATAAAATTTAGAACGATATTTTTTATTGATTCAGGAAAATTGAATTTTTTAATTAAAATTAATAATCGTTGAAAATTGAAAATAATACAACTTTTATTGACAATTCGATATTTCAGTTTTTTTAGATTTTAAAAATGCATAAAATTTTCAATAATAATAATAAATCAAAATACAATAAATATTATCAATTATAATTATAAATAAAAAAAAAATAATAATAATAATAAGATATACGAATAAAATTTGTTTTTAAGTTATTTTGAGATTTTTATTTAACAAAATAAAATGAAATAATATAAATGATTTAATTAAGAAGAAAATTTTAATTAATAATTAGAATTTACCAATCTACAGTTTTTTTTCCACTGAAAACGGTAACCTCTCGCCTGATACCAGATATTTTTCCACGATTTTTCAAACACAATAATTCTTGTCACAATTTAACGTTTTTTAAAAACACCCGCACTACCGCATAACATAACATCGGAAATGTCAAAACATCACGAAAAATATAAACAAACAAAAAAATCATGATAATAATTCGCAAATGATAACTAACAACTAACTTCATACTGCGAACGGACAGAATGAAAAACCACAGACTTTAATAAAGTTAATTTAATTTGTTTTCCTTTATTTAAAATTCGAAGTAATGGAAGTGGATTAACTTTTATTCCGTTTGTCTGTCGGATTCTTCTTTAAAGTATTTAAATCAAATTTTTTAAATTTAAGTATTTAAATGTTTTGAAAAGAAGTGAATTTTCCCTGTTGTGGTTTTTAATGTTTTTAAATTTAAGTATAATTAAATGTTTAGAAAAAAGTGAATTTTACCTGCGGTGGTTCGTAAATGGCGGACACAACTGCTCTGATACCAAGAGGAACATCGCTGTGAATTTCGTACCTTCCGTAAAGGTACCCAACACGTTGATGTCCCGTGCTACGCCAATAATTCAAGAAACGCTCAACTAGACTGGCATTTTCAAACATGACATTGTCCACATGTCGATATTGTTGTCGATTTAATGTTATTGCATTTGGCTGACATTTGCTGCAAAATCCTCGAGGCCATGGTGGATGATCCTTGCAGCCAGCTTTAATACGACAACTTATGTCCTCAAGTTGAACGAATTTTCCTCTAAAAAATTAAATTACTTTTCTCAACAATTTTTTCTAACTAAATTACAAATATTTCTAAATTTACCTTTACGTGACTGTTTATTTAAAATTTTATTTCGATTTAATAAATTCAATTTAATTTAATAAAACGATGAAATAAACGATCACTCCGAGTTCTGACTCATCGTTTTATTATTTTGATGACTGAGTGATAACATCATTATTATGTCAATTCAATTTAATTTTAATTCGGAGTAATAAGATGCAATGTAATTGAATTGAACGTAATTCAATTGCAATTTTCGATATAATTATTAAAAGATAAGAAATAAAATTGTTTACAAAATGAAATACCTGTCAACTCCAGCAGTCAATTTTCTAAGATACGAATGAAACGAAAGATGTTTAACATTTTGCTCTTTAAGATACATTTCGTCGAACGGCTCAAGAGAGGAACAATGCACGCAACAAGCATTCAGTCCATGTCGACAGCTGAAACAATCAATTAAGTTAGCAAAAAAGCAATAAAAGACAAAAATAAATAAATTTAGTAAATCTCTAAATAAAATAGATTTTAATAACGAAAATATTAATTTTATTTTTTTAATTTTAAACTCTAATTTCGAAAGTACTAACAATTTTTCATCACGTTTTCTCTGTATCTTTCCATCCTGTTTCCACAATTGTAGATCGACCTCGTCCTCAACAACACTTGTAGATGAACGTGAAGAATTTATTACAGGTTGAACCTGAGATGTACGACTTGTACTCGGAGTCACATCCATTTGACTCGTTTCTAAAGAAATTTATAAACGTGAGTATACTTTCAATGCAACGTTATAGTTCAGGCCTCGAATAATATGATTTTTTTGTACTATTTAAAAAAACAATTTTTTTGACTATTTAAAAAGAAACGACTATTTTCCACTTATTTTCAAAAAGTGAGACTTTTTATACTTTTTCTCTAAATATTGCAACAAAATACCACATTTTTCGTATAAAATACAACTTGTTTCGATTTTTATAATTTGGAAAATAACTATTATGTAGTCAAATCTTTCAAAAAATTCTACTAAATTTAAATTATTTGGAAATTTTACAATTATATACCCTGCTAAAAATAAAATCAGAAATAAAGAGAGAACGTCAGAAATTTTGATGTTTTGTGACTACTTTGACGATTCCTGAAGCTTTTGGTTAATTCTGACTAAAGGATTTTTTATGCTCCTGTTCAATCCTGATGTTTATGGATTGTGATTATTGAGCATTGAAATCTTTTTTTTTATTTACAGCCCCTCACCGAAATATAGCCGGTAAATGTAAAGTACCGTTAAAACTTGAAATTTGTGCGTAGCTCTTTTTTCACAATAGAATTGCGGGTCTATTGTTACGAGGTTCGGGTCTCTAACCTAATTTTTATTGCTCAAAAGTTTTGCAATTTTAAAATTTCAAGTAAAATGAATATAAATTCAAAATCTAGAAATCTCCACAATTACAAATATCTAAAATTTATTATAAAAAACATTTTTTTAAGGAAACTGTAACGTATCTCGAAAACCGTAATTGTTAAATAAAAAAGGATATCATTTTTGAATTTAAGTTCTAAAGGATATACTGCTTGCATAATAAGAGCATATTGTTAGATGAATTCTAAGTCGATGAAAAACAAGTATAATGTTTAAATAAATATGAATATAAACAAATAAAAAGATTTCCCTTCAATTTTATGACGGTCAGTCGACCTTTTTCCAGGTAAAAAAGGGTGTCGACTTTGTATAAAAAACCTGACTACTTTTGAAGCTTTCTGATTAAACATGACTCAAGCCTGACGTTCTGTGGCTGCAATCGTAACAAATGCAGCCTAAAAACGTCAGAGATTCTGACTAAATTTCTGTCGTTTTGTGATTTTATTTTTAGTAGGGTATGTATAATTAATGTCCCTAAACTTTTAAACCTTTAGACGAGATTAATTTTTCCATTCAAACATTTTCAAAATTTACTATATGTACTTAAATGGAAAAAAAATAATGCAGGTAATATTTATTTAGTTATAACAATTAACTTTTTTAATATAAAAATAATTTTTTTCATAAAATACAAATTAAAAGAAGTAACAAAAATATTGTCGTTCGTTTAAACGTTTAAAACTTTAGAATTATTATAATTAAAAACTTTATTACCTTTAAAAAAAATATTTAACATATTTTTAAAAAACTAATTTTAAGAATTTTTGTATTATAATTTTTTAAAAATCAGTTATTTTCAATATTTTTGATAAAATATTTTCAATAATTCACCTCAATAACTTTTAAATAAAACCACAAAGAGTTGCAATTACAAATATTATGAAAAATTTACTTTTTGAACACAAATAAATAAATTCTCGGAGAAATGTTGAAAAATAATTGACTTAGAAAATAATTTTATTTAAAAATTGTAGAAAATAATTGAATTTTGGAAGAGTTTCAGTTGTAATTTTTAAGTAATTAATTAATTTTCAAAATATTGTGGAGAATTCAATTTTGATATTTAAATAATTGAATTGTCGGAAAAAATTTGGAAAATTATTAAAAATGATTGACTTAAAGGAATTTCAATTAAAAATTGTAGAAAATAATTGAATTTTGGAAGAGTTACAATTGTAATTTTTAGAATAAATTTTCTGAATATTGTGAAAAATTAAATTTTTGTATATATTTAAATAATTGAATATTTTCGGAGAACTTTCGGAAAATTATTAAAAAGAATTAACATGGAGAAGAATAATTGAATTTTGGAAGAGTTACAATTGTAATTTTTAGAATAAATTTTCAGAATATTGTGGAAAATTGAATTTTTGTATTTAAATATTGAATTCTCGGAGAAATTTCGAATAATTATTAAAAGTAATTGACTTAGAGAGGAATTTCAATTAAAAATTGTAGAAAATAAATGTTTTCTATTTAATTTTTGTTCAATTAAATAATTGAATTCTCGGAGAACTTTCAGAAATTTATTAAAAATTAACAGACTAAGAGAAGAAGTTTAATTAAAAATTGTAGAAAATAATTGAATTTTGGAAAAATTACTGTTTTAATATTTAGAATTAAATTTCAGATTTGTAATTGAAATTTTCAACACTTTTTAATTCTTTTGAAGAAATGAATCTATTTAAATATTTATTAATAACAAAATTATTGGAGTTTCGAATAATTGAATTTAAAAATCAGAAAAATACTAAATTTAATTTTCGTGACAACACTGAATAAAATAAACGACTTTTTCGACTTTTTTTTGCTCTTTTTTAATCGTCCAAAGCATCTTTTTTTGCGACTTAAAGTCGATCCGAGGCCTTTTAGTTGTAAAATTATCTTTTTGAAAAATACCTATAGTTTGTAAAATAATTGAAAATAAATTTTGTTATAAAAAAAGAAGCAATATACCTGTTACATTATTAGAGGAACTACTGGTTGATGGACCATCCCATGGTACTCTGCCATTAACAGATGCAAAATAAAGCATATCTCCATGAGATAAACCCACATCCGAGACACTTTTACTTCGTGAAGATACAATTTCATCTTTGTAATTTCGCTGCTTGTAGAGACCAAATCCAAAACTATTGAGATCGAAGGCATCGTATATCTACAAAAAAAAATCATAAACAATTAAAATTTACCCCGAAAATACCAAAAATACTATTTCTATTTATTTGTAAATTACCAAAATCGTCGAATATTAAATAATTTCTCAACAACAAAAACTCTAGAACAAATTTTTCAAAAAAACAGTCATCTAAAGAACAAAGGAAATATATTTTACAATTTTCCAATAATAGTGACATTGGAATAAAGAAATGTCAACTTTTGTAGTTTGCAATCATAATTTATATCGAATTCACTCCGAATAATTTGCAAAATTACAAATAATACCAAAAAAAAGAAATGTTAAAGTAAAATAAAAATAAACCTTTTCAAAAAGAGATGACACTGTGTCAGCAGAATTCACTTGAATTCGTTTCGTTCCCTCTGCAGATTGTATTCGTAGAGTCTGTAAAAAATCATAAATACATCATTTTTTCAAGAAAATGAAGAAAATAAATTTTCTTATTTACAAAAAAAATTGTTGAAGAGTCACGATGTCAAAACAAAGCGTACGTATATAGTAATTTTTGCAAGCATCGTTTCTACAGCAACCATGCTTGTATACGCAAACCGACGCTTTCTTAAAAAACAAGATTCGATCGTAAATTTTTACAAAAAGAATAATATAAAAATCATAAAGAATTTCTAAACTCGACAAACGTGACGTTTAACAAGAAATCAGAACAATAGAAATGACAGTTTCATTAACTTACAATTTGCTTGGGTTTTGACATTTTGCCGGTGTTCGTCGAGCATCAGCTGTTCAGGTTGTTCTTCTCTTGCCTGCTATAAACTTTAATATCAAAAAAATCCCTAGACAAGCGCGTGAAAATCTGTCGAGTCAACTTGTCAGACCTAACCTCAAATGTTTCACACTCAGTCTTTCACGCACGAAAAATGGTAAGTAGCAATTCAAATTTCATCGATAATCCATGAATTTATTGAGAATTCGTTACCTTTTTTGTGGATAATCAACTTTTCTTGTGAGTAAAAACAATTAGTTGGTTAATTTTTCTTCCAAAAAACGATAATGAAGTGGTTGTCTTTGCTTACACACACACAACTCCTTGACAAACTCAAAGGAACAACTGCAGGCAAATAAACGCTCATATAGAACAAAGGTAACAGTGAATAACTACAATGCAACAAAATGAATCATTGTTGATCATATCCTTAAAAACTTTATTACCTGAGCTCACTTGAATTTTAACTTATTCAATTAGAAAACCTGTGATGTTTATTTCAAATTTTCGGAAATAGTGTCAGGTAATTGAACCCCTGACTCCGGCAATCGGTCATACAGACCTACACGCATGATTCAGTATTTTCCGGCTTACATCAAGTGCTTATTGGCATTGAACCAAAAGAAAAGATTTTACTTTCATTTTTTTACATTTTAACTCAACACTTCAAGATTTTCATTTATTTTTATTATTCTCTCATCTTTTTTTCCTTCAAATATTTGGTAATTTTTCCATAAAATTTTTTTCTAAATTCTTAGAAAGAAATTTAAGATTCATTCCAAATATAGTAAAAGAAAAATAATAAATAATAACAAAATTTTAATTCTAAATTATTATAAATTGTTTTAAGTAATTAAATTTTAAAAAGCAGTCGATATAATTTCATAGAATGAAACTTATTGTCTTCGTTTGTATTTTATTACAGAATTTGTCCGTTTCGGAAAATAAAATATTTGAAATTGGAAAAATTTTAGCACTTTTCTATTTTGGGGAATATTTTAACAAAAAAATTATTTCTTTTGTTAAATTATTATTTCAATAAATTAAATAACTAAAATTATTTGAATTAATATAACAAAAATTAATTAAACTAAATAAATTAAAGCGATAAAATTACTTAAATTAAATTTCTGAATTTAAATAAACAAAAAGTAATTTACTTAAATAAATTAAATAGCTAAAATTTATTAAATTGTATAAATAAAATTAAATAACTAGAAATAATTGAATTAAACAAATAAAATAACAAAAATTAATTAAACGAAATAAATTGAATAGCAAAATTTAATTGAAAAAATAAATTAAATCAGCTAAAATTAAATAAATTGAATAAATAAAATTAATGAAATTAAATAACTTAAATTGAATAAATTAAACAATCAAAATTGATGAAATTGAATTGTAATTAAATAACTAAAATTAATGAAACTAAATAAATTAAATTGCTAAAATTACTTGAATTTAATTAACTTAAATAATTTAAATAACCAAAAATTAATTTAATTAAATAAATGAAATAGCTAAAATCTATTGAATTCTATAAATAAAATTAATAAAATTAAATAACTAGAAATAATTGCATTAAAAAAATAAAATAAAAATTAAAGAAACGAAATAAATTAAATAGCTAAATTTAAATAAATTGAGTAACTAAATTTAATTGAATTAAATAACTAAAATTTATTAAATTAAGGACATAACTAAAATTAATTAAATCAAATAGTTTGAAAATGTAATAAAATTATTTCTTCTTGGAACCGATTTTATAAATCGTCAAATGAAAATTTCGTTTAAATCATTTTCTCTTCTAATTAAAATTTGTTTTTACTAAAAGAAAACAACCAAAAAAAGGTTCTACGAAAAGGACACGATGAATGTTTTTTTCTACTAGAAAAAAACAACCCAAAAAGGGTTCAACAAAAAGAAAACTACCGAAAAACTTTTCTACTAAAAAAGTAGAATTTTTTTCAGTAAAAAAATTTTATTTTTCGAAAATAAAATATTTTCTTCTAGAAACAAATAAATAAAATCGTTTCAACAATTTTATTCAAATGAAAGTAAATTTTCCCTGTTCGCCCAACTCGATTTCTTTGTCAATAAAAAAAAAAAAAAAAATAATAAAAACATTCTTTTCATAAAAGTAAATTTTTCTGGAATAAAATTCTTACCTTTGCACCATTTCTTCTTGCCAAGAACGATCACCACGCCATTTCTGTTTTAAAGTCTCTTCTTGTAAGAAATTTTGTGATCAGTTGCATTTGCCAGGCAGTGGCCATCTAGCGAAGCACTCACAGCATCGCAACGTGTGTACCATTTAGTGAAAACACGAAAGTTTTAATTATCACAAATATTTTGTATAATTATTTTTTTCATTTAATTTTTTTTTTATCCTCTCCTCTTCTTTTTTTTGTATGTACAAGTCTTTTGTCCTGCTGCGGTTTTGAAAAAATTATATTTTGCGCGAGAGAAAAGTGAAGAGAAACAAAATTGGTACGTACAAACTTCCGGTATCTTCAACATCATTCAAACTCTGCAAATCAAATCCATTACTTCCGGATGACGCGAGAGATGCTTTCATCTCTTGAAGAAAATTATCCTTCATTCACATCTCTTCCGGTTTGAAATAATTCCTCCACTATATTCCTCTCTTGATGACGTGATGAGATTATTTTTTTTCTCTCGTCAGAAATACCTAAAAAAAAATAAATTTATTTAATTAAAAATTTTGTATCGTCGAAATTTTAATTTTGTTTATTTATTAAATTATTCTTTGTCTATTTATTCAATTTTGCTTCCTCATAGAGGAAGGATTGTATTTGTTTATTTATTTATTCAATTTTGGGTTTAATAAATTTTTTTTGCATTTATTAAATTTTCGGTTTATTATATTTTTTTCTGTATTCATTGAATTTTTGTGTATTAATTATTTTCTTTTTTTTGACGTTTGGTTTTTTAATTATTTATCATAAATTTTGGCTTAACGATTTTTTTTCACAAACCTAAATTTTGTTTATTAATTTTTTTTCATAAAAATAAATTTTGTTTATTAAATTTTTTTCCTGTGTTTATTCAATTTTAGTTTTCTTAATTTCTTTTCATAAATTTCAGTTTATTAATTTTTTTTTGATAAATTTTTGTTCATTAATTTTTTTTTGATAAATTTTTGTTCATTAAATTTTTTTTTATACATTTTTGTTCATTAATTTTTTTTCTCTGTATTTAATTGTTTTTTTGACGTTCAAAAATTTGAAAAATAGTTGTAATTTTAATTGACTGTGAACAAAATAGGAGAATAATTCACATTGTATCAAGAAATTTTGTTGATAATTTTTTTTTAATTACTAATTGAAAATTTTGACTTATCAGTATTAATAGGCAAAATAGTGGAGTCATATGAGAAATGTATATATGTTTGAGTAATTCAGACAATATTCTGTAAATATCCTTAAGAGACTGGCAAGTTTCCACATTAGATTTTCGTTTTGGATTTGGGCTAATTGCTAATTATATACGTTTCCAACAGTTTTATATTTTTTTCATTTTTTGTAAATTTAATTTCAGTTACTAAAGACAGTGATTATTAATTAAATTTCTATTTCAATTAATTCAAAAATAGACAAAATTATTTTCACTCAACAAAATTATTTCAGTTACTAAAGACAGCCAGACAGACATTTTTTTCAATCAATTAAAAAAAATTTAATTATAGTAATCGCTAATTAAATTTTTTAATTAATTTTTTTATTCAATTAAAATTTAATTAGTAATCACTAATTTAATTTTTTCCAATTAATTAAAAATGGGATAAAATTATTTTTACTCCACAAAATTATTTCTTCTCTTGTTTTTTTCTTTCTTTTTTTCTTTCTCTTTCTACTTTTTCTATTTTTTTTTCTCTCTTTTTCTTACATTCGAAAAAGAAAAAATTTTCACTTTGAAAAAAAGTGTTTAATATTTCAGTATTATGATTTTTTCTTGCGTCGAAAACATTTCAAAATTTTGAAATGCATTCGAAATGTAAAATTGTTTTCTTCTTTTTATTGACGATTAAATATTTATATTTATTCTCGACAATATTGTTCTTTTCATATCATTGTTTGCGCAATCCTATCATATTTTTGTGGGCGTAAAGAAATTTACGCGGCATTTCTTCTATTGGAGTGCGGCCAATTAATATTTTATAGAAAAATACATAAATTTAAACAAGAAATATATTTAGTATTTTTTTTTCTACAAAAACAATTTTTTTTCCATTTAATTTACACAATTTATTCATTACTTCTTTTTTTCGCAGGCAGAAAACATGGAGGACTTGGACGAAATGGGGACGACGGTGGAACTTTACGTCTACGATTTAACGAAAGGCGCTGCAGCACTTATGTCACAACTTTTAATAGGTAAACAAAAATAATTTTTTGTTCAAAAAGAAAATAATTTTTCTTCAACTTTTTTTAGTTTCCAAGTTCCATACATTTTTTTTTCTTTTGCTACTTGATAAGAATTTTTCAAAATAAATCCAAATTTATGAATAACGATTTGTGAATATCGAAAAGAAGAAAATTTGTCAACATTTAGAAGAAAGTAATTTTTCCAAATAGAATCCAAACAAAAAAAATAAGAGAGAAAAAAGTTCTCGTTTGATATAAAAATGACGTCGTGAGCTTCAATTTTGCTGAATCATTTTTTACTCTACAGAAGAAGGAATTTTAATCCACTTTTACACCTTTTTTTTTTTACTTTTTCTACGTCACGAAATTACGTCTGCCAAAATGATTAAACCTCCAAATAGAAGAATTGTTGCCAAACTCTACGATAATTTTAGTTATTCTTTGTCTATAAATGATTATTTAATTATAATTACTCGAGTCATCGTGTTTTACGCGTATAATTTCAATGATGAGTCATTTTCAATATTCTTTTGATTCTCTTTGAACAATTAGACGATTATCTCACACCTTCCTCACAATTCACAAATGCAACAAATTTTCGTTAATTTTTCTATTTTTATTTAATTCCAAAACAAAATATTAATTAAATTTTTTTCTTCAAATTTTTATTAATTTTTCTATTTTTATTGAATTCAATTTTGCATTCAATTTAATTTATAAGGAGAATTTTAATAATTCGAAAATTAAATGCAAAAGCATTTAATTGCATTTAATTTTCGAATTATTAAAATTCTCCTGATAATTAAATCCACAAAAAAAAATTCATTTGAATTTTTAATTAAATTTTTATACTAAAAAATTATTTTCCAAAACAAAATATTAATTAAATAATAATTTAAATTAAATATTTATTATTATAAATATTATTAAATATTATCAAATATTTTAATATTTGTATTTATTAAATTACAAAAAATTGTCTCAAGAGAATAATTAAATTAAATGTTCCTAAACTTCCGAACGTTCAAATTCAAATGAAGGAAATTTATTTCTTATTGAAATTAAATTTTTATTGCAATTATTTTGCGTCAAATAACAAAAATATTAATCATAAAGTTGAGACTCTCCCTCATTTTTTCATAAATATTAAATTTATTTTTCAATTAATTATAAAGTTTCTAAATGTTAAATTTCAGTTTTCAATTTTTATTTCCAAACAATAATTTATGGAAATATTTTTCATGAAAAAGATTAATTATTACCTATAATTATTATAATTTATAATTAAATTGTTATTATAATTATTTAATTATAATTACAACAATTATAATTATTATAATTAAATTCTTATTACAATTATTAAATTTTAATTATATTATTTAATTAAATTTTAATAAAAATAAAAAAAAAAATTTCATTCAGATATTCATCCAGTTTGGGAATGAAGCTTTTCTCTCATTGATATCAATGATGTATACGCTCTGTCGTTAACAAGCGGAACGAAGTTGCAAATTCCGATATCTACACGACACAGTTGGTCTAATTTATATACTTCTTGGCATTTGCGAATATCACGGAAGCGATGAAAATTTACAGAGAATTGCGCAAAACTAGGCTAGAATGTACATTGTACACACTTCATCCAATTTTCATTCGCCACAAAATGTTATTTTCAAAGAGTAGCCAATTTATTTTCCATCATTTACTTTCACATACATTTTCCCCAAAGAAACAAAAATTTATTTCACATTTCCCCCAACGAAATAACATTCCATGAATTCTATTTTCAACGATTTTTAATAGACTCCCAAAAAAATAAAAAAATCTTTCTCACGACTATTTTTGTCTTGGAAAAAAAGAAACGAAACTGGATAAATTTTTATGAATGAGATAGAAAATGAAAAGTTGTTATAAATTAAATAAAAAATCATCTCCAAAAAAATAAAAATAAATTTTAATTTTTTTTTAATTAGATAAAAAAAAATTATTATAAATTTTTTCTGAATCGTTTTTATTTTTTGTTTTAAAACAATAAAAAAGGGGGAACTTTTTCTGAAGTAGATAAGAAAAATTGTTACAAATTAAATAAAAAATCATCTTTTTTGTCTTAAAGAAATAAAAGAGAGGAACTTTTTTCTAAAAAAAAAAATACGTTTGTAAATTAAATCGAAAAATAAAAAATATAAATTTAAGATAAAGAGTATAAATTATATGTTACAATTTTACTAAGAGTTGTAATTTTCTTTTATAGGTCGAAATTGGTGTGTAACGTTTGAAAATTCCCTGACTATTTTTAACGTGAAATTACCTATTTAGAGAGGCATTGAGAAATGAGTTTTTGTCAGTGGGACGACACATTGGGAGTTTTCGTTTTTTTTTCTTCTTCTTCATTTAAATAGAAACTATTTACGAAAATTTCTAATAGACCATTCGGCACAAAAGGGAGGTTCGTGACCCCCTGCTTTTCTCAGCCAAAGAAGATAAATATATCTGTGATAGTCTCTCGCTCTCTGGAAGTGTATACACCACACCGTGGACCAAAATGACGAAAGTTATTTCTCGCGAGACGAAAGTCAACGAGCCCAGGAGAACTGCAATAAAAACGAGGCATACGTGAATTTACTTTGCTATTTCCGCAATGAGAAAAGTGGGTCGAAAATCAACGACAGACAAAAAAAAATTGAAACTCGACTCAATTCTGATAGCAAATTATTATGAGAAAAAAATTTCCTCTACAACTCTTCTACTTTTCGAAAATAATAATCATTGGTCGCTGGAAAACTGAATTCCACTGTTACAAATTAAATTAATCCAGGGGAAAAATTAATAAAATCAAATTAATCATTTTTAACTTCTTTTTACTAATTTAATTTATTTTCTTATTTATAATTGTCCCTGGAAATTTTAATTCCACTGTTTCGAATTAAATCGATCCAGAGAAGAAATTAATTAAATTATCTTTTGAAATAATTTATTAACATTTTCTGATAAATTGTTTTATTTTGATTTAAAGTTATTTTGACAAAATACACAAAAATTAATTAAAGTAATTGATAATTTTAGGAAATAATTTCTCAACATTTTCTGCTAAATTAATTTACTTTGATTTATAATTATTGTGACAGTTTTGACAGAAAAAAATTATAATCCAGTGGAAAAATGAATTAAAGTAATTGATAATTTTACGAAATAATTTTTTTGAAAAATTATTTCCTTAATTAATTTATTTGGGATTTATAATTGTTGTGACAGTTTTGACACGCTAACATATCAAATTTGTAATATACATAAGTACAGTGGATTATTTGCAAGCTCTTGGCGCGTTTAGTAAAACATTTCCACCTGGAAACTTTCCCAAGTGGACGACAATTTTTGCGTGTTGTCCCTTTTCAATAAAATTTGTTTTTACATTCTCATCACATGAGAAGGTACATTTTATTTGAAAATATTAAAACTAAAAATATTGGAAAATATTTTTTTTCTCTCCAAAAAAAGAAATAAATTAAAAAGAAATGAAATAAAAAATAAAAAACAAAAGTAAAATAAAAAATAGAAAACGAAAGTAAAAAAAATAATTAAAAAGTAAAATTAAAAAAAAAAAAATTAAAAAACAAAAGTAGAAAAAATAAATAGAAAACAAAAGTAAAAAAAACAAATAGAACACAAAAGTACAAAAATTGAAAAATAAAATTGAAAAATAGAAAATAAAATTGAAAGAAAAACGTTATGAACAAAAAATGTCCTGAAGACTATCAAGAATAGTCGCAAAGATTTTGAAATGGGAAATTCAATACACTAGAAAATTCAATGTGGGTTGAAGTTGAACGATTCATGAGAATACAAGAAAATTTAATGCTAAACTTACAAAACTTATTATGTAATTATGAGAACACTTGTGATGAATTACATCTTAATTTATAACGGGACTTAAATTTGAAATTCTATTTTCTTCAATTTTCGAGATTAGTGGGTTAGACACAATTGCTGCATGTGTAGTTCTAGAAAACTAGTTTTGAAAATTTGTAAGGTCGCATGTCATGTTGACAGTTTATTAACTAAGGGACAAAAATAGTCGTGAATTTTGAAAAAAAAAAATCTCCGTTTATTTGCAAATTGAAACAAATATGCCAAATTTGCAAATACATTGAAAATATTGAATTTTAAAAATGGAATATGAAAAATATTGAAAATGGAATATAAAATATGGAAAATATTGAAAATAAAATATGGAAATTGAAAATATAAAAATATGCAAATTAACGAAAAAAATTTTTTTGTTTTCGAAAATTAATTGAATTTCCTTTTTGCAGGTCGACATATTGATGGTGTTTGGCACACAGCAATAGTTGCATATGGTCGGGAATATTTTTTTGGACCCAGTGGAATTCAAAGCGTTAGACCCGTAAGTGAAAAATAATTTTCTATCTTTTTTTTACAGTATCGAGAAAAATTCCAGAAAAAAAATTCCTGTCGTAATTAATTTTTTGAATCTTCCAATTTCTTTTACTTTTCTTTTTCTTAATTATTTCTATTTTTTATTGGAAAAGAAATTACACAGTGGAAAAAAAATTATTTTTCTATCAATAGAATTTCTTAAATAATTATTTTGTTACCAATAAAAAATTAATTGGTGTTTTTTTTTTATTATATCAACTCAAAATTTATATTTTAGTTTTGACTTTTCTATACTTGTAATTTTGATAAAAATAATTTTTGTTCTAAAATTTGTTTCTCCCAATTTTTCATCAAATTTCTTTTTTAAAAAAACAGATTTTTCACAGTAAGAAAAAATTACTTTTCTAATTTACAGCCTTTTTTTAACTAGAAATTCATTGATGCATTTTTTTAAAATCTTCGTTTTCTTTTTTTAGTTCAGAATTTTAGTTTTTAGAACGTTATAAAAATCTCGAGAAAAATTCTGGAAATTTGATAAAAAAAATTCTTCTAGTAATAAATTTAAATTTTCTATTTTTTTTGTATTCATTTTTTACCAAATTTGTTTTGAAGAGAAAAATTTTTCCATAGTGAGAAAAAAATTCTACTGTACGAAATTTTTTTATATTAAAAATTAATAGAAATGTATTGACGCATTTTTTCAAAGTTTACTAAAATTATACATAGTTTAAAAATTTGCTAAAAATTCAAAAATTCTGGAAATTTGATTAAAAAATTCTCGTAATTTGTCTCTTTTAATTTTTTTTCTATTACAATTTTTTATTGAAAAAGATTTTTCACGATGGGAAAAAATTATTTCTCTAGCCATTTTTTACGAATAAGAAATTTAATGACGCATTTTTTCAGTCTTTTTTTATCGATTTAAAAAATTTAAACAAAATGGATTTTCTCTCGATAAAAAATTCTTCTAGTAATAAATTTATTTCTTCCAATTTTTCTTAACGATTTAAAAAATTTAAACAAAACGAATTTTCTTTCGATAAAAAATTCTTATAGTAATAAATTTGTTTCTTCCAATTTTTTTTAACGATTTAAAAAACTAAAATTTAAACAAAAAAAGTTTTTCCTCTCGACAAAAAATTCTACTAGAAATAAATTTGTTCCTTTTAATTTTTTTTAAGGGAAGAGAAAAGGGAATTTTTTATTGGAAACTCTTTTTCCACAGCAAGAAAAATCAGTTTTCTATTGATAGAAAAAATTAATTTACTTTCTACCATTTGAAAATCATTGACATGCAATTTTTCGACGATAGAGAAAGAAACGTACAAAGAAAAAGAGAATTTCTCCAAAAATCGGTTTTCAATAAATTCATTTACCAGAGGAATTCATTACAAAGGGATTTTTTTATCGAAAAAATTATTTTTTTTAATGACTATAATCCCCGAGTTGCTGAAGAAGAATTGGAACTCTATTTCGTTAAATTTTGTGAAAAGCGATTCGAAACCTCTCCTAAAAAAGGAAATACGAAGAAAATTAATTTCGAAATGAAGAAAATTGATTGGAATTGAGATGAAAATACAAAAATTGAAGAAGAACGGATCCAAAGGAAAAAAAACTCTCCAAAATAAAATCGAGAACGAAATCGAAATAGTTTGAAATGAAATAAAAAAAGAAGGAAAAAAACGAAAGGAAAAAAAATTCTGCAAAAGAAATTAGTTTCAAGGGAAGAAAAATTTTTCCGAGTTTCAAAATAGTTTCAAAAGAAGAAAATTTCAATATGGAATGGAAAATGAAATAAATGTAAAAAAGGAATAATAAAAACAAAGGAAAAAATAATTCTGAAAATGAAATTAGTTTTAAAGGAAGAAAAATTTTTCCGAGTGGAAAAAAAATCCCAAAATAGTCTCAAAAGTAGAAAAATTCAATAAGGAATAGAAAAAGAAATTAATAAAAAAAGGAATTAAAAAAACAAATGGATAAGAATTAAAAAACTGGAAATGAAATTAGTTTCAAAACAAGAAAAATTTTTCCAGGCGGAAAAAAAATTCCAAAATTCATGAACCATTACGTTTCGTCGATTACATTTCTCTCTCTCTCAAAAAAAAAAAAATAAAATAAAAATTTTCTTCTTCCTACCAATGAAATTGTGAGGATTCCGATTTTATTTTTCACACACACACGGAATTGAATTCCGTGTAATGTTGTTCCTACATCTTTGGAATCTAGTCATCACACAATTCTCTGGCTATACGATACTCGAAGCATAGAGTGGGTACTAAATTTGGTTTGGAGGATTACTAAAAATAAAGCTACTCCGTTTCTAGCTACTCTCACGACTACTCTCTTTTCTATCTCGTATACTTTCCTGACATATAGACTCCGTGTAGAGGCGAAAGCTGCCGGTAAGTTCAACTTGTATATCGTGCGAATTGTTCCATCTCCTCCTCGCCCACCGGAAACGCAATTTTCAAGACCTCTAACATCATTTCTTGTGTCTACTATTATCTCTATTACCAACTGGCAATGTTATTCGAAATGTGACGTCACACGTCATAACAAGCAAATTCAAAAACCAATAGTGCAAGTGTACTTTTAATTCAATTTCGGGTGCAAAAAAAAATCCAGTGCGAATATTCACTACAAAAAAAAATTGTGATCAAGTGAAGCAAATTTTTCTTTTTGGGAATTTTGAATAAGTTATTCGGGTATGATTTTTTTCACTACTGAATATTTTGTCCGTCTCTCTATAATTAATTACAAGTGGATTTTTAATTTTTAATTTATTTTTGATTTAAAATTCTTTCTGTTTTTTAATTTCCTTTACATTTTTTTTAATTTTTAAAAAGTACCATTATTAATTTTTTCAAAATATTTTTGTCTAATTTTGATTTGAATTATTTGCTTTAAAAATTTTTCCATTTCCAAATTTTAATTTGAATTATTTGGTTTATAAATTTTTTTCATTTGAATTATTTGCTTTATCAAATTTTTTTATATCTCTATCAATGCAATCAATTATTTCAGTGATAATAATTTTAATATTAATATAAATTTATTTTCAAAATTTTGTTGGTTCTGAATAAATGGTTTCTGAATAAATAGCAAGGACAAAAAATTATTAGAAATTAAAAAAAAAATTGCTTTTGATTACTTTCTATAAAAAGTGTGCAGTGTCTTAAAAATTTAGTTTTTAAATTTATCAACAATTTTATCAAGAAAAAATAATTATGTAATAAATTGAAATTTAACAAAAACGTCTGTGGGATGAGGAAATGTTTTTCTTTTCTATTCTAGCACTGAAATGAATTTCCATTTTTTTAAATGCAACTATGAATTTTTAATTTATCGGTATAATTAAAATTAATATATCAAGCGACAGAAATATTTCGGAAAAAATTTATATTTTTATCGATTGATTTTAATTTTTATTTGCTTTACAAATATTTCCATCTCTCTATAATTAATGCAATTATTTCATTTACAATAATTTTTGTATTAATATAAATTTATTTTCAAAATTTATTTTCCAAATTTTATTTTCAAATTTTTCTTCAAAATTTGTTTTCGAAATTCTTTATCGTAATTTTCTCGTCACGAAATTGATAATCAACAATAAAAAAAAATTATAACAACAAAAATTTCTTCTCGTATTACTTTCTACAAAAAGTGCAGTGTCATCAAAAATTAATTTTTACTTTCATCGACAATTTTATCAGAAAAAAATATAATTATGCTCAAAAAATTCGAATTTTATGCAAAAAAAAAACTGTTTGTGAGAAGACGAAATTTTTTTTCTTTTGTATTCTAGTACTGAGATTAATCTCCATTTTATATTCTCGCATTTCTCTCGGTTTCGTGTATAATTTATTCTCGGTTTCACACTAAAGGAAAAGCAACGTTTCACGAGAACTTTTCAGAAGCTCTAATTTTAGATTTTACGTTCAAGTTAAATACGTATTTAGTTGACAACGGATCCATTAAGTTTCTTTCATTTTTTTTTCCTCCCGATAGAAAAGAAAAAAAAATTGTAAGAACAAGTTTTTCTTTTATTGAAATTAATTATAAATTTTCTTTTCTTTAACAATAAAATTTTTATTTTTCAGGGTGGTACGGAACTTCAAGATCCGCAAAAAGTGGAAAAAGTTGGTGAAACATATCTTCCGTATTCTGTATTTTTGGAATATATCAATGGATTAGGAACGTCGAATTTCGCGTGAGTATTTTTAATTCTATTTTTATTATTTTAAATCCGATTATTTTATTATTATTTTCTGTTATTTCTTATTATTTATTATTATTTGCTACTTAAGGTAATTTAACTATTTTACTAACTTTATTTTATTTTATTATTTATTTTCTATTTATTATTCATTATTATTATTATTTATTATTATTCTATCTAATATTTTGCAGAATTAAATTTAAAATTGAATTTTTTGAAATTGAATTGAAAATTGAAAATAAAATAAAACTGGATTAATTAAAAAAAAATTAGCTGTCAGACTATGAAAAATGTAATAGAACTTTAAGTTTTATTTTTCTTTGCGTGGGACGCTATAAAATATATATGTATGTTAAATTTATTTATGATAAATTGTTTATTATACTGGTGATTCAAAATGTTATTTTTGCTCTTCCTTTGCAGACCTGGCACTTACCATATATTTAAACATAACTGCAATTCTTTTACGGACGAGGTGAGCAATTTCCTCGTAGGCACTGGTATCCCAAAGTATATTTTGGATCTTCCAGAAGCCATCTTACAAACGTGAGTTAAATTGAAAAAATTCTCATCAATAATTTCTTGAAAATTTGAAAAAAATTTCGATCAAAAAGTTCTTAATAATTAATTATTATTTATTCATTATTTTCTTTGGTAAGAATTGAATAATTTATTAGTATTTGATCATTATTATTAGTTAATATTAATTTATAAATTAATAATAATTAACAATTAAATTAACAAATAATTAATTAACAATAATTAAAGTAATAAATAATTAATAATTGATTATTTTTCGTTTATTAGGTAACATTATTAATTTATCAATTAACATTAACTAATAATTATTATTCGAATACTATTATTTGTTAATAATTAATAATTCATAAATTATTTTGTTTGTTAATAATATTATTTCCTGGAATTTTTAAGGCCCATTGGTCAAGCATTGGGTCCCTTGATAGGAGCTTTGAGCAGTGGTGCAAGTGCTGGTTTCACTGTTGGTCACAGATTCGTTGAACCGAGATTTCAGAGAGAACCATCTCCAGAATATCAACTTCTTAATACGGCCATCGAAGAAGCCAGGTTTGTTTTTCGTTTTTCAAGTACAATTTTGATTTACTTGAATGCAAATAAAGTAAAAATAACCATAAATAAAAAAAATACAAAATAAAATAATAAAAAAAAATAGTTATAAATAAAAAAATAATAAAAGGAAAAATAATAATTTAACAAATAAAATCTAATGTGGACTTAATTTACTTTAGATTAAATTCAATCGCCTTGGAAGAGAAGAGAAACGTAATAAACGAGAAGCTTGCGAAAAAGGAGCGAAAGAAGAAAAAGAAGAAGAAGGAAAAGAAGGAAAAAGGAAACAGAGAAAGTGGTAGTGAAAGTAATAGTACAGGACCCAGTAATTGTTGCACAAGCATGGCGGACAGTGAGGGTAAATTTAGAATTTTTTTTCCATTCGTTACATTACTCAGGCAGTAAAAGATTCTAAATTGCATTTTTTTTCCTGAAACCAAAAAAACGCAAATATTTTTCTTCGTTCAATTTAAAAAAATTTTTTTTTGTTTATAAAAAAACAATAAAAAAAGTGAAAGAAAGTTTTTTATTTTTTTAAACAATAAAAAGAACAGAAAATTTTCTCTCTCTCTTTCTCTCTCAATTTTCTGTTCTTTTTATTGTAAAAGAGAAAAATACAGAAAAAAATAAAAAAGGACAAGTAACAAAATAAGCGAAAAAAAAGATTTATTGTTTATAAAAAATAATAAAAAAAAGTGAGAGAGAGAAAGAGAAAAAAACAAGTAAAAAATTGAGCAAAGAAAAAAAATAATTGTTTACAAAAAAAAAAGTGAGAGAAAGTAAAAAAATGGATCAATGAAAAAGATTTGCGTTTCCAGTTTCTTTTGTTGTTTTTCATACTTTTTTCATTTATTAAATAATTAAATTAAAATTATTAATTAATAAAATTAAAGTTAAAAATACTATTTGGCAACTTAAAAAAATTTTTTAGCAAGTGCAATGAGCGACGTACAGCCGAGAAATGGAAATATGGACAGTGATATTGGAGCAGAGATGCTGCCATCAGAGCGTGTTCTTCAAATGGAAGCGGAGGAGAAACGTGAACTGGAAGAGGTGAAAAAACATCGTGAACCTCCAATTGTCTTCAAAGATCTCATAAATGTCGAGGAGGAATTTGAATTATTAGGAAAAATTCTAGACGGTAAATTGAATGACACTGAAAAAACAAATCTCGAAGAACTACATCAGTATGTATTCGAAAATGAAGGCTCTTGGGCGTTGGGCGATAATTTTCTCAATTTTGTCGGTTAGTACAATTTTCAAATTGAAATCAATTATCAAATAAGTAGCTAAAAATTTTTTACTCTAATTGCTTGTCAATAATGAAAATAGCTGAAATTTTTTACTTTAATATATTAATTATTTTTTTCATTTCACTCTACTAAAGTAAATTGTATAAAATATTTAATTTATATTAAATTTGATTTAATTTAATTGAAAATTAAATTGAGTGTATTAATTAATTATTAAGTCCATATTAAATGTCATTTTTTTTGTTTATTAGTATTTTTATTCTTTATTAATATTTTGATTTTATTTACTATTTTAATGTTATTTACTATTTTTAATTTTATTTACTATTTTTAATGTATTTTGCTGTTATTTATCATTTTTATTCAATTTATAATTTTTATTTCATTTATCATTTTAAAATTTATTGTTTTTATTTCTCTAGGTCGAATTTTGTACGACAAGTCCCTAGAATCTGCTGCGAGAACTAAACTTCTGAATATTCTATCTGTCGCTGCTCTAAAGGACGATGTGATTTTGCTTTTGCATCAAGACCGAAGAGAGCACACTATCATGAATTATGCATTTGATATCGATCGTCATCCAGCAGAAGAGCAATTGCCACTTGCACAATTTGTAAGTATTTTCAAATTTATTCATTTTCATTCGTAGCAGAAAAAAAGAATCATAATATCGTTAAATAATTTTAAAATTCTCTTTTATTGAAAACTAACAATAGTTCAAAGTATTTAATTAAATTTCTATGAATTTTCTTCATAATAATCTAGTTTTTTTTTAATTTTTAATATTAATTGAAAATTTTGAAAACAATTTAAATTTATGAAGAATTTTTTTCAATTTTTTAAAATAATCATTTCTGTTAATAATTATAATTAAAAATTGGATTATTGAAATTTATTAAAATTATTTTAAAAGTAATTTAATTCAAGAGAAGAATTTTATTATTTATCAAAATAGTTTAATCCTTGCAAAGAATTTTATTAAAATTTTTAAAAATCAATTAAATTCTTTTGAAGAATTTTTTTGAATTTTTTTCCAAAAAATGGAGTTTCTTTAATAATTTTAGTAGAAAATTTTGACAGTAATTGGATTTTATGAAGAATTTCTTTCAAGTTTTTTTAAATAATCGTGTTTTTCGTGTTGTTATTAAACATTTGATTACTAAATTTTATTAAAATTTGAAAGAAATAATTAAATTCTCAGAATTATGCAACAAGTTTTGAAAATAATTGAATTCTTTCGAAAAAATTTTAAAATAATGGAATTCTTCCCAGAATTTAAAAATAATTTTAAATATAATTTAATTCTTTCAAAAAAATGTATTATATTTATGAAAAGAATTGAATTCTTGTAAATAATTTTATCAAAATTATTGCAAATAATTGAATTGTTTCAATTAATTTTATTTACAAATTTTTGAAATCAATTGAATTCTTTTAAGAAATTTTATTAGAATTGTATTAAAAATAATTGAATTCTTTCCAGAATTAAAAAAAAAAGTTGAATGTAATTTCATTCTTTTGAAAGAAATTTATTATTTATGAAAAGAATTGAACTCTTTTGAAGAATTTTGTCATATTGAATTAAAAATAATGGAATTCATAGCAAAATCTTAAAAAAATTCTAAATGTTATTTAATTCTTTAAAAAAAATTTATTATATTTATGAAAAGAATTGAAATCTTGTAAAAAATTTTATCAAAATGGTTGCAAATAATTGAATTGTTTCAAAAAATTTTGTTTATAAATTTTTGAAATCAATTAAATTCATTCAAGAATATTTATTAGAATTGTATTAAAAATAATTGAATTCTTTCCAAAATTAAAAAAAAATTCTAAATTAATGTTATTTAATTTTTTCAAACAAATTTACTATTTTTATGAAAAGAATTGAATTCTTATAAAAAATTTTATCAAAATGGTTGCAAATAATTGAATTGTTTCAAAAAATTGTATTTATAAATTTTTGAAATCAATTAAATTCATTCAAGAAATTTTATTTGAATTGTATTAAAAACAATTTAAATCTTTCCAGAACTAAAAAAAATGTTGAAGGTAATTTAATTCTTTGAAAGAAATTTATTATCTATTTATGAATAGAATTGAACTCTTTTGAAGAATTTTTCTTAAATTGTATTAAAAATAATTTAATTCTTTCAAAAATTAAAAAAAAATTCTAAACATAATTCAATTCTTTCAAAAAAATGTATTATATTTATGAAAAGAATTAAATTCTTGTAAAGAATTTTGTCAAATTGTTTGAAAAATAATTGAATTGTTTCGAAGAATTGTATTAAAATTTTTGAAATTAATTAAATTCTTTCGAGAAATTTCGTTAATATTTTAGAAAATAATAAATAATAATTAATTAGTTGATAAGTGGATTTTTAAAAATTTTGAATCAAATAAACAAAAAAACGAAAATAATACCAAATAATAGTAAAAATAGAAATCATAATGATAAAAATAGAAATAATGATAATAATAATAATAATAAAAAATAATATTAATAATAAAAATTTTCTTTCAGTTAGCAAACATGTTTGAAAATCTGAGCAGTTCGGAATGGCTTCTTTACATTTCCGAATGGCAACACCAAAATCAAAATATCAGTAACATTAGGGTAACAACGAAGGTAGCGGTGCATTCATTACTTTCAGAATCTCTCGAAATGCAAGCCAGGGGGACGGCAATTATTCACAACTTAGCTTGCAAGGAGGTAAAAACTGTGGTCTGTATCCCTCTAAAAAAAAATTAACCGCTATGTCAATTATCGCCTGCTTACGTGAATAACGATTTATTGCCTATTCTCTATATAAAAACAAAAAAAAAAAACAAAAAAAATTACGGACAACTGTTTTTGATAAGAAAGTTTCAAGAGTTTGTTTCTTCTTTTAGAAGTGCTGCCTTATTTTCATTGATTAAACTCAGCTTTCACTCTGAAATCTTTATACACTGACAAACACTATCTCAGGCATGATTTAAACTGCTTTCGGTGCGGCAATTGTTTACAACAATCATTAAGTCAATATATACACAGTGATGATTTATTTTTCAAAAAAGAATTAATATTCTCTCGAATCCGTTTTCTCGATGGGCTTTTTATTTGACAATTTCTTTTTCAGTCGAGAGTTTATAAGTGCATTAAATCAATTTTATTTTTCAAATTACGACTACAACTGACAATAAAAAAAAGATTAGAAAATAAAAATAACAAAAAGAAATTTCCAGAAAGGGAATTTTTATTTTTTTTTCTTAAATTTAAAAATAATAACTAGCAAACTTAATATTTAATGTATTATTATTATTATTATTATTATTATTATTATTATTATTATTATTATTATTATGTAAATTACAAATTTTCTATTTTAAAATATCAATATCAGTTTTTAAATTTTTTAAATGCTAATATTGCAATTATTAAAGTATTAAATTATTACTAATTTACTACTGAAACTGATAAGATAAAAAATATTCTATTCTTTAAATACATTTATAAATAATATCGAATTTACTGCATTGAAATAAAATTTTACTAAATAATAGAAATAATAATAAATTAAAATAAATTCAAAAAAAAAAAATTGTGTATCATGACTGAAAGAGGCTTTGCATTAAAAAAAATATTAATAGTAAAACACTGTCAGTTTGTAAATCGAAATTAGACGAGAAGTGAGCGAATACTTTTTCAGGGATTCGGTACTATTTTTTCAGAAAATGCACAAAAACAAAACTCTGCGGCAACTTTTACCAAAAGGCAGCATTTCGAAGGTATTTATTATCCAAATTTTTGAATAAATTATTTTTTGATAATTTACGTGGTAAATCGTTATTCAATCGCGAATTCTTCTCTCTTAATGAAGAGAAAAAATGAAAAAAAAAAATTAAAGAGAGAGAGAGAGAAGAAAAAAAATCCTCCCTTTTTTCGCCAATCGCATGTTTTTTCCAAACTCAAAAATTCATCTACTTAAAATTCTAATTAATTGATTTATCATCAGGTTTTCGACGATGTCGCCGTGGAATTAACAATGGCACTACTGCAATTTTTCAATGGCAATCCAAATGAGGAGCAACTTTTCGCCTGTATGAAGGCACTCACACGTTTCACGCAAATCAGCGGTCAGGAAGTGCCGCAATTGATACAAATGATTGGCCCAGAACCAAATAAATTTCGTGGTGCTTCGCAGAGGGTAGATCAGTTGATCGATCAAATCAACAAAAAATTACGTTAATTCGAATGCAAAATCCAATTTTTGTTTTTATCAACAAAACAAGACCGTTTTTTTTATATATAAAAAATATTTATTAACAATTGTAATTATTTTTAAATATCGTTCGCTATTTTTATTTATTTTTTGTTTTCTCTATAAGATTGTCCAGATCTCGAAAATCTCGAAATCACTGATTTTAAAATTGTTCAAATTTTCTAAACTGATTAATTAATTAATTAATTAAAAAAATTTTATTTCAACTTTTTTTCGATATTTTTATCGAAAATAATAGATTAGCAGAGATATCGTGAGAGTAAGCACGTAATGCTCAAGATATTTTAGGAATTTGCTATCTTAAAAGATTGAAAAGTGAGGAAAAGTTTGTCGATTATTTTTCACTGTAAAATTGACACTTTTATGTAAAAAAGTATTTTTTATATTGTCCAAATTACTATTGAATGAAAAATATTCTAAATTTTGTGTTTTTTCAAACTTATGTTTTATATTTATTTTCATTTTAATGATTAAATTCTTTGAGATTTTTTCGATTTTACATTTATTTTCATTTTAATGATTGAATTTTGTGTGATTTTGTGAGATTTTATATTTATTTCCATTTAAATAATTTTTTGTGAAATTTTGTTCGATCGTATACTTATTTTCATATTTTCAATAGAATAATTAAAATATTGCGAGATTTTTGTTCGATCGTATATTTATTTTCATTTCAATAATTAAATTTTGTGAGACTTTGTTTGATTTTTCTCACCGCGAGAGAGCGGAATTTACAAGAAAAATACGATTTCCATTACGTGCTTATTCTCAATTATTTCTCTCTGAAATTATAGTTTGTACAAAAGCGGAATTATTTCGGTAAACAAAGTCAGTACCGGATTAGTCAGGCAAAATGATATTTTGCTTTTTAATTTATTAAAATTTCAAAGTTAATTAAGTGATAAATTTTTTTATTTTTAATTTATTGCCGAAGGGAAAATTTTTCTGAAAAAAGTGAAAATTTTGAAAACGAATTTTATAGTCTACACAAAGTGGATAATAATAATTTCAATTTGAAACGTCAAAATTATAAATTAAATTTTTTGTACAATATTTACCAGACTTTAAAATCAAAGTGTATTAAGTAGCAAACTTTATATTCTCTTGTTTTTTACCACAAAAAATAGTCAAATACGAGTAAATAAAAATCAAAAATCCATTTTAGAAATAGTTGGGAATTTTAAAGAAAATTGCATTTTAAAAGGAGAATATTAAACTATTTTTTACTTATATAAAGTGAACTCGTAAAGTGAACATTTGTTTTCCTTTTTTTTTTTGTTATACTTCTTAGTTTGTACAAAGTTAATAATATAATTAATATTACGTTATTGTAATTTAGTGTATTACTATAAAAAATTTTTTGTTAAAAAATTTAATTTTCAAGGATTAAAAATAAAAAAAAATCCTATAATATTGTATAAATTTAAGACGACACGTGCAATAAAATATATTAAGTCTTAAAAAACACGTTATTTCTTCCTTTTCGAAAATTAATTGTTCGAAACAATTTTGCTGATTAGATAATAATAATTGTCTCTGTCAGTGTCACGGTAAATGTTACTAAAAGGTTAAAATGGTTTTAAATGCAGTGTTACTTGTTCAATTCGATTATAAATCTTATTGATTAAACTGTTTCGAATAGTACAAAGTTAAAATTGAATTTTTTCTTCTCTCATATCTGTCAACGAGTTATGTCACTAAGAAATCAAAACTAGTACAGCCAGTAGTGAAAATCATATATTTTCACGGCTTTTCATTATTTACAAATATAACGATCATATATCTTCACTAATCAAGACTTTTACGTTTAATTATAATGAAAATTAACATAAATTATAATGTACTATAAAATTGAATTGTAAATTGATTTAAAATTATAAATTGAAGAAAAATTTTCTGAAAGAGAAAAAAAAACATGATAATTACAATTCAGAAGGACAATTCTTTCATTTTTAATGTATTTGAGGATGATTCTCCGCTTAGTGCTCGATTTTGTGTTCTTTGTGTATTTATTAACTAATCGTAATATTGTAATGAATTCTCCGTAAAAAATTAATTTTTTCGAACAGAAATAAATTTCAAGTGTGACTGAAATTTTCGAAAGGTACCAAAGAATAAAAATCTGTACCGTTTATACGAAGTTAATTTTTTGTTTCTCGTTTTGTGCTTCATTATTTTCGTACATTTTGGAATAAAATCGATAATTATTTATAATTTAAGTTAAATAAATTTAATTTAATAATTTCACGTTATTTAAATGATTTTGTGAGTAATTAAAAATTATGTGAATGTGATGGTAAATGTGAGACAGAAAATTATTTCCAAATTGTTTAAAATTGAACAACGTATTAACTCGAAAAAAGAATTATCAACTTTTGTTTTGATTTTTCTTTCTAAAGTATTTAATTCAGTGATTTTTTGTCAACAAAAAAATTCAAAAGATAAAAATTTTGATTTTTGTTCAAGAAAAAAATCGAATGATAATAATTTTGATTTTTACTCAAGACAAAAATTGAATCATAAAAATTTTTATTTTTATTCAAGAAAAAAATTTCTTTTAGTACCTAATAATAATTTAACTAAATTAATTAAACAAGAATTTTCAAAATTGAAAAGAAAAAAATTGTCAAATTGTATAAGAACAATAATTGTCAAATTGTAAGGACAAAAAATTTTCGAATATACAAAGAGTTTATCATGTGTAAGATTTATATTCCCTCAGGTAGCGATAACGTAAAAGATAATTGCGTTTGAGTAAATTTAAACAAGGCCTAGTCTCAAATTGTCAAGCGTACGGCAAAATTTGAAAAAACTTTTAATGTTTTCCGCATTCGTGTTGATAGTAAACGTCTCATAGGATTGTTTTTCTTTTTTTTTTTCTTTTTCCTTTGTCACACACAAAACTGTTTATGTGAAAATAGAAAAATTCTATTGATTTCCATAGAGAATTTTAAATGTTCAAAAAAAGGAAAATATCTTCGAAAGAAGATGCGCCGATAATAAGAAAAAAATTATGCGCAAAATATATTCCAATTATTAATTGGTTTCCAAAGTATACGAAATTTCAAGCATTTTCGGATGTCATTGCTGGAATCACATTGGGTCTTACAATGATTCCACAAAGTATTGCTTATGCTGCACTTGCAGGATTATCGGCTCAGGTAATATTTTCAAAAATATTATTATTCTCAAATTTTAGTTTTTATTTATTAATTTTTAATTATTAATTTCACGTGAAAAAGTTTCGGAGAAAGATACCTAAAAATTTTCAGGAAAGACTTTCCTGGAAAAGTCACAAGAAATTCCCAAGAAAGACTCTCTAAAATTTTTTGGTATTCATTTTAATTTTCACTCCCAGGAAATTCACGAGAAATTCCCGAGAGTGACTCCCTGAAATTTTTTAGTTTTTGATTTTTAGTTTTACTCCTGGAAAATTGAAGAGACATTCTTGGAAATTTTCTGGGAGGGATTCGCTGAAATTTTTTGGTTTTCATTTTTAGTTTCACTCCCAAAAAATTTAAGAGAAATTCCTGGGTTTTTCCCAGGAGTAATTCTCTGGAATATTTTGGTTTTCATTTTCATTTTTACTCCCGGAAAAGTCACAAGAAATTCCCAAGAAAGACTCTCTAAAATTTTTTGGTATTCATTTTAATTTTCACTCCCAGGAAATTCACGAGAAATTCCCGAGAGTGACTCCCTGAAATTTTTTAGTTTTTGATTTTTAGTTTTACTCCTGGAAAATTGAAGAGACATTCTTGGAAATTTTCTGGGAGGGATTCGCTGAAATTTTTTGGTTTTCATTTTTAGTTTCACTCCCAAAAAATTTAAGAGAAATTCCTGTGTTTTTCCCAGGAGTAATTCTCCGGAATATTTTGGTTTTCATTTTCATTTTTACTCCCGGAAAATTGAAGAGAAATTCTCGAAAATTCCCTAGGAGTGACTCTCTGGAATTTTCTGATTTAAATTTTCATTTTTTACTCCCGGAAAATTAAAAAAAAAAAACTCCCGGCAATTTTCCGGGAGTGATTCCTAGGAATTTTTCGGTATCATTTCCAAAAACTTTTCCACGTGGGATTTTTAATTTTTATGTTTTAATTTTTAATTAAAAAAAATTGAAATCAAATAGATATTGTAGAAAAAATATTTGACTAAAATTACCATTTTTTTCAGTATGGACTCTATTCGTCCTTTGTTGGTGGTTTTATTTATATCTTCTTCGGGAATATTAAAGAAGTTTCTATTGGTCCAACGTCTCTGATGTCGCTTTTAGTTTTGGAATTTACAAGAGATATGCCTGTGGAGTTTGCAATACTTCTTGGATTTTTAGCAGGATGCGTTGAATTAATTATTGGTATTCTCAATTTAGGTGAGATTATTTCTAATTTGTAAAAGTTCAGAAATTATTTAAACTACAAAGCAGTTTTTTATTTCTGCTTTAAATTTGAAAAAAACGTACTTTTTTATTTTTATTATTAGTAAAGTATTTCTTTTTTTCAATTTTTCCTTTTTAATGGAGAATAAATTTCCTCCTTTAAATTATTGACAATTTTCAAAATTGCTATACTTGAAACAAAAGTCCGTTTAGGTTTTCTTAACAATGTTGAATTGAGTTAGAGTTATTACATTTTTTTTTATTTTGTGTTTCCTATTTTCTTTATTTTTATTTGTTTTTTTTCTACTTTTTCCTATTTTGTTTACTTCTAATTTTTCTTTTTCATTTTTCCTTATTTTGTTCTTTCTTTTTTTCTTATTTTTCTTCAATTTATTTTTCCTATTTTATTTTTCATTTTTTCTCATTTTGTTTATTTTTATTTTCTTTTTTCATTTTTCCCTATTTCGTCTTTTCTTTGTTGTTTTTTTTCTCATTTTGTTTATTTTTATTCCTTTTTCTTATTTTGTAATTTATGTTTGCATATCCTTTGTTTGTTTTATGCTTTGATGCTTAAGTTTTGAAATCTCTTATCTTTCGCATTTACGTTATTATTTCTGAAACAACATTAAAACATTCTTTCACCATTTTTTTCATTTCTATTGGCTAATTCTTACGTCAATTTTTTTTCCTTGCATTTTACAAAAATTTTCTGACGCCATTATACTCAAAATAAATAATTATTAATTTTCGTTTTTACTCATTAGAAACAAAAATTTCGAGTTGTCCACCAAATGTAAAAATATTTCCAATAATATTGCGCAGAAATTCCAGAGAATGATTTTGCGAAAACTTTTTTGAACATAAAATTTTACGGATTAAAATAAAAATAGAAATGAAAATTACAATAGAAATAAAAATAGAAATAAATATAAAAATTAAAATTAAAATTAAAATATTTAAAAATACTTTTTTCAGGTTTCCTGGTGGATTTCATATCGATACCAGTCACTTCTGGATTTACTTCGGCCACATCAGTCATTATAATAATAGGACAAATCCAACGTCTACTGGGAATTAAATACAAATCGAAAAATATTCTCGACAATATTATAAAACTGTTTCAAAACATTCATCAAATACGATTGAACGATACAGTACTTGGCGTGTGCTCAATTATAATTCTTTTACTAGTCAGAGTGAGTTTAAATATTCCATCAATTTATTCAAGAGCAAAAACGTTAAATTTTTCTAAAAATTACCATGAAAATTTAATTTTAATTTCTAAATTATTTTACACAAAAAAAAAATTCATTTTCCTCAAATAACCGACAATTTGTCTATTATCAAATAAATATTTACTTGAATCAAATAATTTTTATTCAAATCAAATAAACTACTGTAAATAAAATAAATAAAAATTCGAACCAATGATTACTAATGTTTGAAACTTTTTGAAACTATTTATGAAAATTAATGAAAATTAATTGATTTAAATACAAATTATTTGATTCAATATTTATTTGATAATAGACAAGTAATCGGTTATTTCAATCATATAAATTTTTTCAGTGTATGTAATTTCAAAAAAATTGAATTAATTAATTAAAATTAAATTTTGAAATAATAAAAAAAAAAATTGAAATTAATTTCAGAAAATGAAGGATATCGACTTTAAAATGAAGGATCCGGCTAGAAATCAATTCTTCAAGAAGGCATTTTGGTTTCTCGCTATAAGTAGAAATGCACTTATTGTTTTGATAACAACTCTAATAACGTACCACTTGCATTTTGCAGGACATCAACCCTTTATTCTCTCAGGTCTGAATTAATTTTTTTTTAAATCAATTTTTAGGATCCAAATTCAGTTATATCGGTAAAAATTTAAACTCAAAATTTTTTTTCTCTTCTCTAGGCACTGTTAAATCAGGATTACCTCCTGTTGATTTACCTCCGTTTAGTGCACAAGTTGGAAATCAAACATATTCATTTATAGACATGTGCTCTCATTTGGGTCTGGGAATTCTTTTTGTTCCACTCGTTGCAGTTTTGACAAACGTTGCTATTGCTAAATCATTTGGTACGAATAGACATTTATTAAATAATAATGATAATGTACTAAAAAGAAATTTTTTTGGGCCACCTTAATAATGTTTTTTAGTTATCTGTAATTTTCTATGCAAATATAATTTGTTTTGTCCTTTTTCTATTAATATAAAAAGAGACTGCAAAAAAATTATAATTATTAAATTTGTTTTTCTTTTTTTTTTGAATAAAGCTTGTGGCGAAGCAGTGGACGCTTCTCATGAGATGAGAACTTTGGGTGTTTGCAATATTGTCGGCAGTTTTGTATCATCAGTTCCCACTTGCGGTGCTTTTACAAGAAGCGCAGTCAGCAATGCAAGTGGAATTCAAACCCCATTAGCTGGCCTTTATTCAGGTAATATTGAATCAGTCAAAATTAATTTAAATTTAATATCACGAATTACAGTAAATTCCTTTTTTTTACCTAATTCCCCTTTTTTCCTATTTTATTTTTTAATTATTCCTATTTTATTCCCCTTTTTATCTCCCTCAATTAATAAAATTGAAAATCGCATTGAATCATTTAATATTTTCCACATAATTTCAAGGAAATAAATGAAAAAATAAAAATAGATAAATAATCATTTTTATTCGATTCTTGAAAGAAAGAATTAAATGAAAATCAATATTTATTATGTTTTTTAAATTCTTTCTTCCAAGAATCGAATAAAAATTATTTTATAAGAAAGGATATAAATAATTTCAACCGATAATAGATAAATACAACAATAAATAAAGATAAAAATTAAAATAAAAATAAACAAGAGTAAAAATAAGGAAGGAAATAATTGAAAAGATAAAAATAAGTAAAACGACAAAAAGTAAACAAATAAATTAGTAAAAACAAAATAAAAAATAAAAAAACAGAAAAAAGAAATTAATAACTAAAAATAAAGGAAACATAAAAAACAAAAAAAAATTAATAACTAAAAGCCAAGAAAAAATTAAAAAAAATAAATTAATATAACTAAAAATAAAAAAATAAAAAAAAATAAATTAATAAGTAAAAATAAAGAAATAAATAAGTATAAAAATAGAAAAAAAAATTGTTTGTTAATTAAATAATCATTTAATTTAATTTTTCTACTTCAGGTACAATGACTCTACTGGCTCTGAGTTTTTTAACCCCTTACTTTTATTACATTCCTCAATCAACACTTGCTGCGGTACTTATAGCTGCCATTGTGTTCTTAATTGATTTTCAAATTGTTATCGTACTTTGGAAAGGAAACAGTAACTATTTTCTATTTTTCTATTACTATAAGAATAAATTATTTTCTTTTTAGATAAAATTAATTAATATTAAAAAAGAAATTAAAATTTTCAGAACGTGATGCCTTTGCGACAATTGGCACTTTTATAATTTGCATTATTTTCAATGTTGAAACTGGATTACTTCTTGGGTCCCTGTGCAATATGATTTATCTACTTTACTTATCAGCGAGACCAAAAATTATCGTCACGGAGTGTAAGGTGCCAGAATTAACATTAAAATACATATATTATGTTTCGTTTTACTTTTCATAAATTCAAATTCAAAAAAAAAAAAAATTTTTTTTTACATTTATCATTCTTTAGACAAATTTCGGAGACAAATATATTTTAATAAAACCCGAGGCTGGTCTATTTTATCCAGCGGTTGATTTTCTGACGACAAAAATATCTCAAATTAGAGAAAAGCATTTAAACAATGAAATGCCATTCATTATCGATTGCCAAAGATTAAAGGGATTCGATTACACATCAGTGAAGGTAAAATATTTTTTGTACCTTTATATTAAAATGAATAAATTATTAATAAAAAAAAAATATTTATTTCTTCGCAGGGAATTGAGAGACTTGTGCGCGAGTTTAAAGCATTCGATCAACAATTGTGCTTTTTAAATGTTAATTCATCAATAATGAAGGCAATTGGACATCTCAGTAAAATTGAAAATTTCCATATAATTCAGAAGGAGGAAAATATTATTGAATGCTTTCAAGATTCACGTAAGGCAATATTTACAGATTTATTATTGTGAACGTTCTTCAAATTCCGAGCTTTCAAATGATCTAAAAAATATAATATAAATAATAATAAAAATTATTATTATTATTATTTATCGATAAAAAGATGTTTTAATTAATTTTGTGGCCTATAGGCCACAAAATTATTTAAAACACCTTTTATCATTTATTAAAGGCTTAAAATAAAGTATTTTTACCACTTCAAAATAATATTATTTTTTATAATATATATATAATTACAAATACAATTATAATTATAAATAAAATAATAATATAATCATAAATATAATGATAAAAATACTAGTAAATTTTTAAAATTCGATAATTATAATAATAATAATTACAACTACAATAATAAATTAGATAATAAATTAACTGAAAAAAAGTATTTTATCAAGATTTTTCAGTTATTAACTTTTATTATTTTTTTTGTTATTATTATTATTATTATTTTCATTATTATTGTTAAATTAGCATACACTGAGAAATTTTTTTTTTTTAATTCAAAAATAAGCATTCAACCAAAAAAATATATTTGATTTAAACGCAATTTTCATTGAATCAAAATTATTATGTTTGGACAAAAATAATTTTTGTTTGAAATTGAATGAAAATTTATTATTTTTTAAAAAAATATAATTTTACGAAATATTCTTTCAATTTTTATTCCATTTTTAAAATTATTTTCGAGAATTCAATTATCTTCAAAAAAAATTGTAATAAAATTTTTTTAAAAACCTACTTTTTTTAGAATTTTTACAAGAAATTATTCAAGACTTCTATAATTTTTGTTAAGCAAATATTTAAAAACTTAGTGTTACTTCATTTAATTTAAATTTCAAATAATTTCAATATGTAAAATCTTTTGAAATTTAATTCTTTAGCTAAAAATTACAAATGCAATTTTTCTCTCGATTTTTCTCAAAGTTAATTATTTTTCAGAATTTTTGAATAAAAGTATTCAAAAATATTTAATTAAAAATTTTACTATTCATAAATATAATTCAATAATTGTTTCGAAGAATTTTTAAAAATTGTAGAAAATAATTAAATTTTTTCAAAAAATATAATTAAAAATTACAAAAAAAATTTAATTCTTTCAAAGAAATTTTATTAAAATTATATGAAAAATAATTGAATTATTGCGAAGAAACTTGAAAAAAATTTGTAAATAACTGAATTCTTTCATAAAATCTTTTTGAAAATAATTGAATTTTTGAAAAGATTATATAACGAATTAAGAAAAAAATTGAATTCTTTGGCTAAATTTTATTGAAATTAATTGAATTTTTACAAAGATTTTACTATTTAAGAAAATAATTGAATTGTTTCGATGAATTTATTAAAATTTTAGACAATAATTGTATTCGTTCGTGAAATTTTATTAAAATTTTGTTTAGAAATAATTGAATTTTTGCAAAAAATTTTAATATTTTTTACTATATATTATAATTTTTGAAATTAATAAACAAGAATAATTAATTAGTAAATTAGTTAATAACTGCATTTTTTTAAAGTTTTGAATCTAAAATTATTCAAAAATTCATATTTGATGCAATTTTTCTCAAACTTAATCATTTTTTTTAATTTTTGAATAAAAGTATTAAGAAATTTAACAGTTTTTAAAGGAAAATAATATAAACAAATTTTTTAAATAAACATTTCAATATTATTATATACTTTTACAGCGATGAAAATGTTTAAAAGATTTCAGATTAAAAAACTTTCAAAATTAAATTATTTCTTAAAATTTCTTAATTGAAATTCTTTTCTGAATCAATTCTTATTAGAATTCAACGATAATTGAATTATTTAAATACAAAAATTTTTGTAAAATTTAATTACATTTTTCAAATTTTTACTTATAATTCTTCCAAGAAATACAACAATATTTAAAAACAATTTTTTAAAGTGAAAAAATAATAATATTTGAAATTTAAAATTCATTTAAATGAAAATTTGAGAAAATTAAAAATTTCCTTTTTTTAATTTTTTAAAACTATTTTCAGAAATTCAACTATTTTCAAAAAATTTTAATTACAATTTTTTCCTTTTTTTTAGAATTTCTAAATAAAATTTTTCAAACTTCATTAATTTTTGTTTAATAAATATTTGAAGGCTTATTGTTATTTATTTGTCCAACAGGAATTAACATTTCAAAACACTTTCAATGTAAAACCTTTAGAAATTTAATTATTTCTAAAAAATTAGAACTGCAATTTTTTCAATATAATTCTTGAAATATTTTCTAAAATTTTAACTGAAATTATATTTCTTAATTTCTTGTCAAAAAGTTCTACGGGAATTCAATTATTTAAATACAAAAATAATTAATTATTTCCAAAAAGTGTATATCAATTTTAAAAAAATTTTTTTTTTTTTACAGACGAAACTTCGGTATTGAATAGAAGTGTAACAATGCCACTGTTCAGTAAATTACAAGATGGAGTAATTTCTAAGGATCTCAATTATAATCGTAATGCAATTAAGGAAACAAACGTGTCAATTTTGGAAGAAAGATTATCACTGATTTCAGAACGTAATGTTGATAGTGCAACAGATAATAAAATTTCATCGAAAAATAAACCAAATGATGAAGTGAACGATACGGAGTCAAGTCGTCTATAAAAATATTCTGAAAATACTGCCAAAGAAAAAAAAATGTACTTACTACGTTTAGAAGAAAATTTGTATAGAAAAATATTTTTTTAAAAAATAATTTGATAAATTAAAAATTTTTAAAAAATTTAATTTAAAACGATCAATATTTATAAAAATTTTCAAGGAGATATATAATCAGCCAATGAATCTATATTCTACAAAAGCGCAAGCACTTTTCTAAATATACGAAATTATTCATTGGATGCTTATTCCTGGGGAGAAAATTTACAAAATAGCCAAATTTGATCGTTTTGTTTTTTATTAATTTTATTTATGTTTAATAATAGTTTAGTGTGTATGATTTTTGATCGTTTAATGTATTTAATATGTTTAATGCTAGTCATGCTAGTTTAGTGTACATTATCAAATCTTGAGTAATTTTAATTTTTTAATCAATATATTTTTAAGCGCAATTTTTTATTATTTAAAAGTGATGTGTAAACTTTTCATTCTTTTTGTCAAAACGTTACTTTTGTTTTAAAATTCGATTCGAAATAATAAAAAAGAAGTTTTAGTCGATTCAAAATACAAAAAAAAGTTCAAAAAGTCATTTATTTTATTCAGATTTGTAAAAGATATTTAATTTTCTATTTTCCTGACTTTTCCCTAATTTCTAAAGAAATTTTTGTTACCAAAATGAATCAGTTTATTAGTATATTAGTAAAATTTTTTTAATATTTTCAATTTTAAAATTAATGTATAAAAAATCATCTAATTATTGCAAAGAATGTTATCAACAAAAATTTGATAACAATAGAATTCCTTCAAAGAATTTTATTATTTAGGGAAATAATTGAATTCTCGCTAAGAATATTGTTGAAATTTTTGAAAATAATTCTAATTAAATTCTTTTTGAAGAATTTCTTGGAATTTTTTTTAAATAATGAAATTTCTTTAATATTTTTTATTACAAATTTTGAAAATAATTGAATTTTATGAACATTTTTGTTCAAGTTTTTAAAATAATCGTGTTTGTTAATAATTTAAATTAAACATTTAATTATTGTATTTAATAAAAAATTTAGAAAATAATTGAATTCTTTTGAAAAATTTTATAAGGAATTAAGAAAAAAATTGAATTCTGTCGTGAAATTGTTTTAAATGTAATTAAATTTTTGCAAAGAATTGTACTATTTATAAATATAATTGAATTGTTTCGAAGGATTTATTAAAATTTCAGAAAATAAAATTTTTTAAAAATTGAATTCTGCCATGAAATGTTATTAAAATTTTAGAAAATAATTGTATTCGTTCTTGAAATTTTATTAAAATTTTGTTTAAAAATAATAGAAGTTTTGCAAAAAATTTCAATATTTTTTATTATATATTAAAATTTTTGAAATTAAGAAACAAGAATAATTAATTAGTAAATTAGTTAATAATTGAATTTTTTAAAAGTTTAAATCTAAAATTATTCAAAAATTCATATTTAAAAATAAAAAATTTTGTAATTTGCATAATAATAATAAAATGAACACCAAGTTCCGCGCTCTAGCGCGCGTAACATTTTCTAGTTAAATAATAAATTTGTAAATTACTTAAATTTACTATTAAAAATCATTATGTAAATTCAATAAAATCGGAGGTAAATTTTAGTAAAAATTACAAAAATATACTTTCAATTTGGAAATCAATTTTTAATTTTGAAATTTTTTTTGAAATTTTGAAAATAACAAAATTTCCAAATAAGGAGAATATTATACTTTAAAAAGAATAAAAATTCCCGCTACAAATTTTGAATATAACAAAAAAATTACAAACACTAGTATAATTAAAAAGAGAATGCCACCAAATTATTTCTCTTCTAAAATTTAAATTTTACCTCTCAATAAAATAATCAATGTAAGCGCAAGCGCTTTTCTCTTCATGGCAACTGTCTAAAGTCACTCTCAGAGTTCTATAAAAAAATGTGATCTTGAAAACATCAACAAGGTTAAAAAACACTTCATTTATAAAATGATATTATCAATTTGTGCAGTATTTAAGAAAAATTTCGATCAATCACAATATCATCGACTCAAACGGTAATTAATTACAAATTAATAAATAATAATAAAAAAACCTAATTTATCAGAAAAAGATTTAAAGATTACAATAGATGTCAGATTTTTGGCATGATCATATCACGTGGGCTATAAACAGTTGACATTTGTCAAAAACATTTGATATTTTTATCCAATTTCTATTATTTCTTCTAATTGTAAAAAAAAAAAAAAAAAAAAAAAAAACAATGAAAAACTGGATTTCTTTACGACAATTGTTTTCAAAAAAACAATTGCAACAGTGGAATAAATTAAATTTCAACTCTACTAATAAAAATTATAGTAGTGATAAAAAAAAGCCAACGAAAACAAAAGAAGAGGAATTAGAATATTTACAGTCACATTCATTTTCATCGTGGGAGGAAATTCAAGTACCAACATCATGTTGTATGTCTGGTTGTGCAAATTGTGTCTGGATACAATATGCGGAAAGAGTGAGTCAACTGTTAAAGGAAAGTGACAAGGATTTTAACAAAATAATTATGGATAAAGTTGAAGATCCAAATATGAGAGCTTTTCTTGAAATGGAATTACGATGTCGTAATCTTGAAAATAAAAAATAAAAAAAAAACAACAACAAAAAATAGGAAAATTTATGAAGTTACTGTAAATAAATGCTATTATGTATATTTAAATAATTTGTAAATAAATTTTCTTTGTAAGAAAGTGTTGAAGAAATAAAATATTTTTTCACTAAGATTCGTCAGTTTTCATTGACTAATAATTTCTACTAATCATTTATAATTATTTATATAGGAAAACAATCAATATTTCTATTAAAAAAATTTTTATTTATATTAATAGAATTCTTAATTAATAAATTAATAAAATTTTATTATTCATATCGGAAAATATTACAATAAAAAATGGAAACAATGACTTTGAAAACAATATTATCAATGGTTGATTTAATATTCGCTTTTTGTTCAAATAAAATAAAATAAAAAGATAAATTTGACTCAGAGTTTATTAAACTTTTAATTTGCTTGAAATAAATTTAATTAAATTCAAATTTTATTTAATTAAATTCAAGTTTTATTTGCTTCAATTTAAATTTAATTTTATTCAAATAAATATTTTATTTGTGTGGAATAAAATTCAATGTCAGATAATAATTAGAATTACGAATATTGACGAACATCTTGATATTCAATATGGAGACACTAATCTCCACCTGTGAACGCCAAGGTCACCGTCAGATGGCAGTTCGGTTGATAAAATCAGATTCCTCGCCATCTAGTGGCGACCTTTGCATTCTCAAGTGAAGAAATTTGTTTACCCTTCAAAAACTTTTTTATTTGAAAATTGTTAATGTGAGAATAATTTAAATTGTATTTTTCGAGAAAAAATTAATATCGCTTTTTATTTAAACGCAAAACATATTTTTTGTAAATAAATAATGAGCGACTATTTGCAACTATTACGAACATTTTATAACACTTTTAATACTATTTTTCTTTTACTATTTTTTTTATTTGTAAACTCAGTCCGAGGCTTGACATAAAATACTACTAATTATTTACTAATAAATGACATAAAGAACAATAGACATAAAGAGCTATTAATTAAATATATATAATAAAGTACTAATTAATTACTAATTAATTACACAAGGAAGTATTATTTATTCACTAATTAATTAGATAATTAATTATAAAACTATTTATATAAAGAATTTAATACAGTTTATTTACCAAAATATTTTTAAATTGTAAGAAATAGAAAAGAAAATTTATTTGCATTAAAAAGTTTTGAGAAATGAAATAATTAATTGGCATATTTGTATTAATTAATTTCTTTTCAGTTCAATGGGAAATTAATCTTCAGTAAAAATAAAAAGTACCAAAAGTCCAAATTTTCAGAAAAATAAAATGTACTCGCAATATTTCTTGGCACAATATCAAATACGGAAACATAAAAAGTAAAGATTAAAGGGATTGCGTAAACAACGCAATAAACGTGTTTTTGAATCAGTCATTTACATATACATAGATAATAGTATTCTAATGATTTGACTATTTTTAAATCTATATATTGATATTGTAAGCAAAATTGCTGAATTATTTATTGTTTTCCTAATTTTGAAACTATCGTTCAATATTATAATATTATGATTTACTCACACAAAACTTTCTCGTTATAATGATTTATTGAAAATTTCGAATAACAATAATTATGAAAAAAATAATTTTTTTTAATGTAGTGAAAAATATTTTGGATAAAAAATAATTTTTTTTAATGTAGTGAAAAACACTTTGGATAAAAAATAATTTTTCTTTCAGTAATTAATCATTTTAATTCAGTAAATAATAATTTTTTTAAAGAAAACAAAGGCTTGTTTATTACCTATTAAGTAAATGATAAAAAACCACATTTTAATTTTAATTACCAATAAACGTTGTATATTTTGAAAAATTATCTTTTTTGTCTTTTTTTACATATCTTGTTAAATTGCAAAGAAAAAATTTAACTACTACCTGATATGTAATTTTAGAAGTGATAATAAATATCGAACAAGTTTTTTAAAATTATTTTTTATTTATATAAAAATATAAAATAAATTGTAAAAAGTTGTAGAAATTATAAATACTATAAATACTAAATACTAAAAACCTTTTTTTAAAAGTATTTTTTTATTAATTTTTTATATTTTTTATTTATTTATTTATTTATTTTCAACTTTCACAACTTGTCGATCATCACTAATTTAAATTTAGGTGGACAACACCCAGAGGAAAATTTCATTTACACCAAATATAATTTATTTTAGTTAAATAAAGTTATATTTGTCTTAGGGTCTACTAAATTATTTTTTTGTTGTAAATAAATATTTTATTCGACAAATCAAATTTTATTTGAACAAAATGAAGTTTATTTGAATCAAATCAAATTTAGAGCCTTCAAAATTATTTTTTTGGTTTAAATAAAAATTTTATTCAACAAATCAAATTTTATTTGAATAAAATCAAATTTATTTGAATAAAATCAAATTTATTTGAATCAAATCAAATTTTTTTAACAAAATCAAATTTATTTGAATCAAATCAAATTTAGAGCTTACTAAATTATTTTTTTGTTTTAAATAAAAATTTTATTCAACAAATCAAATTTTATTTGAATAAAATCAAATTTATTTGAATCAAATCAAATTTTTTAACAAAATCAAATTAATTTGAATCAAATAATTTTTTTTAACAAAATCAAATTTATTTGAATCAAATAATTTTTTTTAACAAAATCAAATCAAATTTAGAGCCTACTAAAATATTTTTTTGGTTTGAAACAAAAATCCTATTCGACAAATCAAATTTTATTTGAACAAAATCAAATTCAGAGCCTACTAAATTATTTTCTTGTTTTAAATAAACATTTTATTCAACAAATCAAATCAAATTTATTTGAATCAAATCAATTTAATTTGACCAAAATAAAATTTATTTGAATCAAATCAATTTAATTTGACCAAAAGCAAATTTATTTAAATCAAATCTAATTTAGAGCCTACTAAATAATTTTTTTTTTAAATAAAACTTCTACTCGACAAATCAAATTTTATTTGATCAAAATCAAATTTAGAGCCTATTAAATTTTTTTTTTCTTGTTTAAAAATTAAATCAAAGAAATGCATAATTATAAATTAAGTTAAAGAAATGCAGAATAAAAAATTAAATTTAAAAAATGCACAATTAAAAATTAAATTAAAGAAATGCATAATTAAAAATAAAATAAACAAAATATCATTCAAAGAATTGTTATGTTTCTACACTTTAATGACATAAATAAAAAATAGTTTCGCGTTCAATCTTATCAACTAAAAAGCATTCGCAAAAAAATTCATGAAAATAAAAAATACAATATACTAATCACATCAGAAAGTATTTTAAAAATAAATAGATTTTTTCCTCTTATTTTTATTTTATAAATAATTTTAATAATTCTCTTCTATAAAAAAAAATTAAACTTTTTCTGCACGTATATCTGTATGTATATAATTTTACAACAGTGTATATTGGATGACTTTACTTAAGTGGGGAATTTTTCCATGTGTTTGTGTCAGAGTGTGTTTTTGCATCATGTGGTTGTGTAAACGCTCGTGTACGTTAATGCGTGTAGATTATTTTCGCTTATACCGGCGTCCGCAATCTCAGAAGTAGCTCTCGCGTTGACAGGTTTCGAACACTCGTTCGAAACACGAGGAAACGTTATTAATTTTTCTCTCTCAAAAAAAAAAAAATTATAATAAATAAATGCTTTTTTAATTATTTTCCTAATCCACTAAAATGTTTCCCAAAGTTTTTATTTCAATTTTCCATTATTAAAAAATCTCCCCCAAAAGTGTCAAAAAAAAATCCAAGTGTCATCAAAAAATAGTTTCCGAAAATTATGAGTGAAAAAAATTATGAAAATAAATTGTGAAAAACAAATTGTGAAAAAATTAATCTTTAATTAAAATTAAAAAAAATAATTTGAATAATAAAGAGAAAATAAACGTGGCGAAAAAATTTTTTCTTCACATACGACATCGTGATATATGAACTTGAAGAAATAATAATCTTACGTAATAAAAAACATAACGTGCAATAAATCATTTTCTTTATTATTTATGTAAAGAAAAAAAAATGACGAGAGTGTGTGTATTTTTATTTAAATAAATAAAGCATTCCGAAAATTAAAATTCTAAACGAAAAAAGCAAAAACTTATTCACCCGAAGCAATAGAAGAAAGAAGAATAAAAAAAATAAGGAAATATCAAAAGTTCACAAGTCCAGAATTCATTAATTTATTAACATGAATGAATGAATATTTATTAAAAAAAAAAAAAAATGCTTATCAATTTTTATAAACAATCGATCATGGATTATACGAACTTGTATCACGAAATAATCGAGCCGGAAAATGCGATTGAACATTCATACTTCAGAAATACGAAAGGCAATCACGAGGTCAAGAACACGGAGGCTTTTTTATGAAAAAATATCTATAAAGATTATCACTTCATTACAAGAGTTGCATTAAAATCAGAAGACGAAGAAGAAGAAGAAAAAAAGGGGAAAAAAAGAAAAATATCAGACAAAATTGATTATGAGAAATTTTACACTTTGAATCGCAATTATCTTCTGACTAAAGATAACAATATCGTCTGAATGATTAAAACGGAAGTTTTCTTCGAAGTTGATAACTTATTGGTCAGATGGAATATTTTATAAAGATTTTTCCAATATTTTGCCAATTAGATCGAGGATATAGAATTTTCTTTTTATTGCCAAACAGTGATTAATAAATATTTAATAAGAAATTCAATATTGTGGTCATTAATTATATCAATGATGGATAATTATTATTTTAATATATATTACGAAGAAATATTTAATTGAAGGAAAAAAATTATTAATACTAATTATTAATTATTAATAATCAGAAAATAATAATTATTACCTATTTAAATAGAAGAAAAGAATAATTATTAATTATTCGAGTATGAGAAAATTTTTTTATTTATTATTCTGACGAGAAAACCAACAATTATTAATTATTCGAATACAAGGAAATGACATTCAAACAATTATTTGAATACTTGGAATAATAATAATATTAATGTCTAACATTAATATTTAATAGTGATACAATAATAGTGATATTTAATATTATTATTATTAATACTAGTGATAATATTGTGACAATATTTTTGACAATTAATTTTTTTTATTGATAAAATCGAAATTTGCAATTCGATTCTTATTGCAATTGTGTACATTAAAAATTAAGTTGCCCATCGAGTGCAATTTTTAGATTTATTTATTGTCAAAAAGAAAACATTTGCATTACTCAAGTACCTCAAGTATATTTCTCAAGTTCCTACAATTATTGAATATTTGATATCTAATCATGCCAAAGTATATAATTTATAATTAGTCCAGATAACAAAGAAAGCAAAGAAATTCAAAAAAAAGGAAAGAATTCAGAAAGTGAAGAACTCAAAAGGCAAAAAATTTAAATAGCAAAGAAATTCATAAAGCGAAAAATCCAAAAAGCAAAGAAAGGGAAGATTTCGAAAAGCAAAAAATTCAAAAAGAAAAAAAAGCAAAGATTTCAAGAAACAAATAAATTCAAAAAGCAAATAATTTATATAACAAAAAATTCAAGAGGCAGAATTTCCGCAAAAAGGAGATAATTCAAAAAATAAAGAATTTAAAAAGCAAAGAATTCAGGAAGCAACAAAATTCAATAAGCAGAGAATTCAAAAATTACAGAAATCCAAAAATAAAATAAATTCAAAAAGCAAAGAACTCAAAAAACAAAGAAATTCAAAAAAACAGAGAATTCAGAAAACAAAGATTTCAAAAATCAAAGAATCTCAAAAAAGCAGAAAAATTCAAAAAACCAAATAATCCAGAAAGCAGAAATTGAAAAAAAAACTAAAACAAAATTAAGAAAAATTATTTTCAAAAAATTAACATTTTTTACGAAGAATTTTTTAAATTCCATGAGGAATTGAATAAATAAAAAAAATTGCAAAGTACGCGCAGAATTTCAAAAAGCAAAGAAAGAGGGAGTGTACGAAAATATATCACAAAATCAACTAAAAAGAAAATCGAGTGGAAATAATAATAATAATAATGAGTCAGTGAGATTAGAATAAAAAAAGTTTAATAAAAAAAAAAAAAAGAAACAGTTTGCGGGAGATGCCTATTTCGCATAAAAGATCATCGTCGAGTATTAATAAAAAAAACACTAATGAAGATGTGATACATGAGAAATCACCATCGCCATGGAATGAATTATTAGTGACTACCACAGTTCCTGCAACGGCAGTTGCTGTCAAATTGTGCGAAGATTCGCCTGATGAAACCACAAAGGATTCAAATGATAAAAATAAACTTGGAGTATTCAACAGCTTCCAAAGAAGAACTTTTAGCAGACTCAGTTTTAAGGGCGAAGGTGGACCACTATTGGCAAAGTAAATATACAAAAAAAAAATTTATTTTCCTTGACAAAAAAAATCTTTCACGCCGGAAAAAAAAATTATTTGATTCAACTAACCGTTCACTTGTCTATTATCAAATAAATATTTACTTGAATCAAATAATTTTCATTAAAAACCAGTTAAATTGTATTTGCTTCAAATACAGAATTTATTTGATTCAAGTAAATTTTTTTTTTATTTAAATAAAAATTATTTGATTCAAGTAAATTTCTATTTGGTTTAAATAAAAATTATTTAATTCAAGTAAATATTTATTTTATAATAGACAAATAATCGGTTATTTGAGTTCATTTATTATTTATATTTGAGTTTTATTATTCGAATAAATTATTTTCAGTACATTTTGTTTTCAAAATTAATAATTAACTTCTTGATATTAGTTAAGATATTTATTAATATAATATTAATAATAATAAAAATAGTAATATACAGACAATTTTCAATAAATAGAAATTCTCAATAAATTGAATTTGTTTTCTAGTTTTTTGTTTATTATTATTTATTCTCTATTTTTAAAAAAAATTTGCCAAAAAGAAGGAGATGATAATAATTCCAAATCTCTCAATAAATAGAAATTCTCAATGAATTGAATTTGTTTTCTGGTTCGTTAAAAAAATTTTGATACTTAAAACATTTGATAAATTAAACCCCCGAAAATTTGAATTTTCTCTTTAGCTCCAATTTATCGAGAGTCGACTGTATTATTAATAATAATAAAAATAAAATTAATATAATATTAGTAAATATTATGACTAATATGATGAGAGGTTAATTTTAATTTAACAATGCTTTTTTTAAATTAATAAAATTAATTTTCAATAAATTACAATATTTATTGTTTATTTCCTATTTTTAAAAAGAATTTTCCACAAAAAAAAGAGATGATAATAATTCAAAATCGTCCTTTTAAAATTTGGGTACAGTAAATTTATAAAAAGTATAAAAAAACATATGGAAGATTTGATAAAGATTTTGTATATAGAATATAAATTGACAATGACAACAGTCGTGAATCTTATCAGGAAATAAAGATAACTGAATATAATTTCGCATATATACAGTACATTACGTGGCAAAAAATTATTTTCAAATAACCGCTATTAACCTTTGGAAATACGTTTTTTTTTATTCACACACTAAAGTATAGGTAAACATTACCAGCACAAAATTTAAGCGTAATTAAATCAAATCGATCAATTAATTACTTTAATTAGTAAAAAAGTAAATAATTCATGTCAAAAATAAATTATTTTGATATTTCTTTATTTATTATTAATTATTATTTGTCATTTAATTTTAATTGTAATAGAAAAAAATAAGACATTCGTCGTTTTTAAATAAAAGCTTCAAAACAGCAAATTTTTTGTTAATTGAAAAAAAGTAATTAATTTTTAAAAATAATCTTTCTAAATTTAAATTAGTAAAAATCTTTGCTAATTTGAATTAGTGACAGACTTTCTGCTTTTAAACTAATAAATTTTACTACTAAATTAATTAATAGAATTAATTAGTTAATAAAAATTACTATTTACTATATTATTATTTATAATTAAAATTAATTATTATTAATAAAAAAATTAATTTTGTAAAATAAATACACTATAAATAAGGTATAATTTATTATTATATATTTTATTATATAATAATAAATTATTTACTATTATTTATTATGTATTTTTTAATTATACTGTTTATAATATAAATATATTTACGATAAAATTTATTTATTTATTGCTTCCTCGTGGAGGAAGTATTAATTTATTATAATAATACAAATTATAATCAATACTTTTGGTCCAAAATTGTGAGAAATTTTTATCAAAATTTGTTCTACTTTCATCTTTATCCAAAACGGTAGAAAATAATTTCCTCTTTTTCCGATTATACATAAACGTCTAAAGCCAATTACACCGCCTACTAAATAGAAACACACGCAAACTCAAAGGAAACGTACTATTAAACTATTAAAAATCATATATTATTTATTTTTTTTAAACTTTTTTTAAAAATATTTTTTCAATTTGTCAAATAATTAAATTCTTTTTAATTTCGAATATTTTTATAAATATAAAAATAAATATATAAATTGTATACATATTTGCAGCAAGCCTTGTCCCTTCAATTTTATACGAGTAAAGTAATATATTTATATATTTTTTTCTGTCAAGAAAAAAATATATAAATGTATTACTTTGCGGGTATAATTATAATATATATATTTTTTTCTTCTTGACAAAAAAAATATATTATAATCTACACGTATAAAAGTGGAGGGACAAAACAACTTGCTGTAAAAAAGTATTCTAAAGTCAATTTACTAATTTTCACTATTTTTAAAGAGAAAACGTTAGTCGGTGATAAGAATAATTACGAGTAGGTTGTCATCGACATTTATCGAACAACTTTTTTTGTAAGCAGTATTGAAAAAAGAAAAAAATTTACCATGACCGTGAAATTAAAGTCAGTTCATTAACTTTTAAAATGAATAAACAAAAGAAAAAGAAACCTATGCATTGGAATATTAGGGCAAGCATTGAAGAATTGTAAGTTGTAAATTTTATACCTAATATTTGTTTTTATTTCCACCCGAAAAAAATATATAATATATAGTTAAATAACAAAGTTTAAATAAAGTGAATAATAAGTAATAAACAAATTAAATTGTTAGCAAAATAATAATTTATATCTATATTTATTTGTTTTTTCTTAACAATCGTTTCTCAATTTTTTGTTAATTATAATAAATAATTTATTTCGTAATTTTATAATTTATAACTTACAATTAATAACTAATTAGTGACAAATAAATAATAATATAAAAATAGTAAAAATTAAATCAAAAAGTATAGTAAATATTAAATAAAAAAATAGTAAAAGAATAAAAGTATAAATATTAGACACTTGTCGGAAATTATAAATAAAAAATTAAATTAATAAAGACAAAATTTGCTTTTAGTGAAAACCGTTTCTTAATTATTTTGTAATAATAAATAATAATAAAATAGTAAAAAATAAACAATAATAATATTTTATAATAATAATAATAAATATAAATATTATACACTTGGAAATTGCAATCAAAAAGTTAAATTACAATAAATTCATAAAATAACTGAATGCACAAATAAAATCAAAATTTAATTCCTAATCGATCTAAGAGTAAATTTTATAATTATGAACATTGTTTTTCTCACAATTTTTTATTCACTTAAGTTATTCAGCGTTTAATACTGAATTAGAACTATCGTAAATTCTAAAGTATGATTATATCAATTTAATTGTGTTTAGGTGATGATGTTACGTTCAAGTTGCATAATTTCTTATTCTCACTATGTATCGAGAAATCTAGACCTTCAATTAATCATAAAGAAGGATATTTTTATAAAAATATATCTATTTTTGATTCAAAATTCAAACTTTTCATAATTTACGTTTTTGAAGATAATTCAATAATAATTAAATTTTAAACTAAACAATATACAATTTATAACAAAAATTATAAATATAATAAATTATAATATATACAATAAATATTTTAAATATTAATTTATTGTATTATTATAAATTTTATTGTATTCTACTATTGCGCTTTAAATATTATAATTTTTTATAAAATTTTGAAATTGAAAATTGAATTAAAAATTTTGAAAAAAAAATTGAAAATAATCTTAGAATAAAATTATTTTCCGCCTGTGACAAAAATAAAATATAAATATTGCCTGAAAAATATTTTTGATCCGAGGAAAAAATTTTCTTCAGAGTCAATACCCTCATAGAAAAGATATATTTGTCTGAGAGGAGAATAAAAATTTATTAGTTTCAAATAAATTTATTTTTATTCCACAATAAATTTTTTTCCCTTCAAATAAATTATATTTGATTCAAATAAATTATTTTTATATGCTTTGAATGAATTTATTTTGCTTTAAAAAAATTTATTTTGATTCGAATAAAATTTGAAGCAAAATTATATAGTTAATTTGAAGCAAAATTTTATTTCAAGCAAAATTAAAATTCTTTGAATTAAAATAAAATTATTTTGAACAAAATAAATTAATTTTAAACAGTAATTAATAATTTTAAAGAAAATACAATTATTTGAGGCAAAATAAATTTATTTAAATACAATAAAATAATTTATTTTGAGCAAAATAATTTGATTTGTTTGAAAATAAATTTACTTGAATCAAAATTAATGGATTTGAACGAAAATGAATTTATTTGAAGCAAATAAAATCTATCGAATCAAAATAAATTGATTTAAACGAAAATATATTTAATTAAAGCAAATAAAATTCATCGAATCAAAATAAATTGATTTGGACGAAAATAAATATAATTGAAGCAAAACAATTTGATTTGAACGAAAATCAATTATTATTGATTAATTATTATTAATTATTATTATTTATTATTATTATTATTTATTAATTATTATTATTATTATTAATTATTTGAAGCAAATAAAATTTACTTGAATAAAAATAAATTTATTTTAGAAGCAAAATTAATTGTTTTGAACAAAAATGAGTTTATTTGAATCAAATAAAATTTATTCAAATCGAAATAAATTGATTTGAATGAAAGTAAATTTACTTGAAACAAATCAAATTTATTTGAATCAAAATAAATTGATTTGAACGAAAATTAATTTATTTGAATCAACTAAAATTTAATCTAATCGGAATAAATTTTGTTGAACAAAAATAAATTTACTTGAAGCAAATAAAATTTATTAAATAAAAATAAATTAATGTGGACGAAAATAAATTTACTGGATAAGCAAAACAATAAGTAGATGAAAATTTGATTTTAACGAAAATGGATTTATTTTAATCAAATAAAATTCATTCCAATTGAAATAAATTTATTCAACTCAAAAGTAATTTTTTCGAATTAAAATAAACTTTATTTCATTAAAAAAAAAATAAATAAATTTGTATTTATGCAGAAAAAGCATTTTATTTTAATCA